GATTCCTCAGGATTTCGATCGATTAATGAGAATCCCTAGATTGTCCCTCGAGATTCCCTCGGGATCCCTGCGGTATTCCAGGGGCAGGGGATTCCCTAGGGATTCCAGAGGACGCCTTGGGGATGTTTAAAGATCCCCTTAGGATTCGCACGGATTGCGTAAGGACTCCTATTCCCAGTGGGTTCTTAAGGATTTCCTGGGGGGCCCAGAAGATCCCCTACATATTCCTAAGGATTCTTTACCTCAGGAATGCGTCCCGGGAGCCCCCCGCTCCAGGAGGTTCCAAGATGCTCCAGGAAGCTCCAAGAGGTTTCAAAAAGCGAAGGGGGCCTCAGGACGCCCTGGAAGCCTCAGGAGGCTCCAGGATGCGACTGGGGGCCGCCGTTTATGCTGGGCCAAAGGAGACGCCAGGAGGCCCCAAGAGGCCAGGAGGCCCCAGGATGCGTCAGGAGGCCCCAGGAGGCCCCAGGACGTTTCAGGGAGCTCCGGGAGTGTCCAGGAGCTCGCAGGAGGCCACAAGAGCTTCCAGGACGTCCCACGAAAGGCACGCAGGAGGTCCCAGGAACCCCCAAGAGACCCCAGGATGCTATCGGAGGCTCTAGGAAGCCACATGAGGCCCCAGGAGGCCCAATGAGGCTTCAGGAAGCTTCCGAAGCCCAAGGATGCCCAATGAAGCCCCAGGAGAAACCCAGGAGGCTTCAGGCACCCCAGGAGGCTCCTTGATGTTGCATGAAACCCGAAGGATGCCCCAGGAGGCTCCAGGACGCTTCAGGGAGCTCCAGGAAGGCCCAGGAGTTCCCAGGCAGCTTTGTCAGCGTCCAAGTAGCCCCAGAAGGAGCCCGCAGGAGGTCCCAGGAACCCCCAGGAGACACCAGGCTGCCCCAGGAGGCTTGAGGATACGTTCGAGGTCCCAGATGTGTAATGAAGCCCCAGGGGGAAGCCTAGGAGGCTGCGGGAAGCCCAAGGGGGCTCCAATACACTTCAGGGAGGCTCCATGGGTTCCAGTAGCTCACAAGAGGCCCCAGGAGCTAACAGGAGTTCTCAAGAGGTCCAGAGGGCCCCTCCCACCACTGAGCCGAGCATCCGATGGGACGCGTGGGCAGACCAACGCGCGATTGGCAATTCACCGATGCTTGCGACAAGAACGATAAACAACGGAACGCCTCACGATTATGAAACGGAAGAACGGACGGCCCGAGTGCGAAGCAGATTACGGAACGAGGAGGAGGAGGACGCGGAGGAGGGGGAGAGAAAGGATGATGATGATGATGATGATGATGATGATGATGATGATGATGATGATGATGATGATGATGATGATGATGATGATGATGATGGTGATGATGATGATGATGATGATGATGATGATGATGAGGAGGAGGAGGAGGAGGAGGAGGAGGAGGAGAGGAGGAGGAGGAGGGGAGGAACCACCGTGGCCCATCGTTGCAGCGGCCGCAGGCCCAATGTCTGGGAGAGCCATTACCATTGCACACATTCCTCTTGCCAACCATGATTCACATCCAAGCGCAATATTTCTGTGCAGCGTCTTTTTGATAGTCAGATAATCCAGCTGCTTGCGGCGAGTCCTGCCACAGTGCAGGCCAGCTATCTCGGAGGCCCATGTGTGAGGGAACGCGGCGGTCCTAACATGCGGCATCCTGTCTTTCCAAATTTCGAAAGGTTGTGACATGTGGCGCACTTTCTGCAGGGTTGTTCATGCAAATTGTGGGAGCACGCCACTTTGGAGCAGTTTTGGGTCGTTTAGACAGCCTCTTTGGCCGCCTTGAGGCAATCAGGCCGTTTTGAAACTACGTTGGGCCGTCGTGCGTGTTGGGCCCAAGGAGGCGCCAGGAGGCCCAGGGGACTCCCGGGGGCTCCAGGAGGCCCCAGGAGGCACCAGGAAACCCCAGGAGGCCCCAAGAGGCCCCAAGAGGCCCCAGGAGGCCCCAGGAGGCCCCAGGAGGCCCCAGGAGGCCCCAGTAGACCTCCAAGAAACCCGAAGACAACTCGTGAGACACCAGGAGGCGTCAAGAGACCTCAGGAGGCACCAGAAGGTTCCTGAAATTCCGGGAGGGCGCCCCAGGAGGCCCAAGGATTCCCCGTGAAACCCAATGGAGGCCTCATGATGCTCCAAGACGCCGCTGGGTTTCTAGGAGGTTCAAGGAGCTCCCAGGAGCCCCCAGGATGCCCCAGGATGCCCAGGGAGGCCCCAGGAGGCCCTAGGAGGCTTCAGGAGACCCCAGGAAACCCCAAGAGGACCCCAGGAGGCACCAGGAGACCCTGGGAGGCACCCAGGAGGCCCTGGGAGACCTCAGCTGTATTGGTATGAGTGCCATAGTATGGCATGTTGTTTGCTATAGCGCCACACGCTGCCTTTATATGGTTGTTTCATGCCAACCTGCTTTGATATGACTGCTATCGCATGCCATGTTTTCTTGACGCGTCTGCAGTCTTACACCATGTTCGTTTGATGCGACTGATGCTGCTTGCCCTGTTTGATTGATGCGTCTGCTGTGTCAGGCCATGTGTTGACATATCGCTACCGTGTGAAACGTTAGCTCGATGCATATGCTCACGTGTGCAAGGCTGTCGTGTTATGACTGCTATAGTGTGCAATGCTGTCTTGATGCGGTTGCCTTCGCATGCCATCTCACACCATGGAAGCTTGGTGTCATCCCATACCACGGTACATGATTGCTGTCTTGCACCATGGTAGCTTGATGACATACTATACCACGGTGCCTTGATGATATATTGTTACATGGTAGCCTGATGCCACCTTATAATTGTGCGCGGCGGCCCAGGCGTGGAGACCGTTCCGCGCGCAGAGCCGCGCATCCTCCACAAACACCCCTCGGTCTTTCCTCCTCTCTTTCGTTTGTTGGGTTTTGCGTGCCCCGTTGGGGTCCCGACGGTCAGCATAGTAGAAGTAGTAGTAGTAGTAGTAGTAGTAGTAGTAGTAGTAGTAGTAGTAGTAAAAGTAGTAGTCGTGGTTTTAGTAGTAGTAGCAGTAGTAGCAGTAGTAGTAGTAGTAGTAGTAGTAGTAGTAGTAGTAGTAGTAGGAGTAGTAGTAGTAGTAGTAGTAGTAGTAGTAGTAGTGGTAGTAGTAGTAGTAATAGTAGTAGTAGTAGTAATAATAGTAGTAGTAATAGTAGTAGTAGTAGTAGCAATCGTAGTCGTCGTTGTAGTAGTAGAAATAGCAGCCGTGGCAGTTGTATTATTAGTAGTAGTAATGATAGTCGTCGCAGTATTAATTACCGTAAACACGTGCATCGAAGTCGTAGCCGTAGTACTGGTAGTCGTAGAAGTGGCTGTATAAGTAGCAGTTATAGTAGCAGTATTAATAGTAGCCGCAGTAGTGATAGTAGTAGAAATAGTAGTAGAAGTCGTAGTAGTAGTAATAATAGTAGTAGTAGTAGTAGTAGTAGTAGTAGTAGTAGTGGTACTAGTAGTGGTAGTAGTAGTAGTGGTCGCAGTCGCAGTCGCAGTAGCAGTAGTAGTAGTAGTAGTAGTAGTAGTAGTAGTAGTAGTAGTAGTAGTAGTAGTAGTAGTGGTAGTAGTAGTAGTAGTAGCAGTAGTAGTAGTAGTAGTAGCAGCAGTAGTAGTAGTCGTGGTCGTAGTCGTAGTCGTAGTCGTAGTCGAAGTCGTGATCGTAGTAATAGTAGTAGTAGTAGTAGTAGTAGTAGTAGTAGTAGTAGTAGTAGTAGTAGTAGTAGTAGTAGTAGTAGTAGTAGTAGTAGTAGTAGTAGTAGTAGTAGTAGTAGTAGTAGTAGTAGTAGTAGTAGTAGTAGTAGTAGTAGTAGTAGTAGTAGTAGTATGTAGTAGTAGTAGTAGTAGTAGTAGTAGTAGTAGTAGTAGTAGTAGTAGTAGTAGTAGTAGTAGTAGTAGTAGTAGTAGTAGTAGTAGTAAGTAGTAAGTAGTAAGTAGTAAGTAGTAAGTAGTTAGTAGTAGTAGTAGTAGTAGTAGTAGTAGTAGTAGTAGTAGTAGTAGTAGTAGTAGTAGTAGTAGTAGTAGTAGTAGTAGGAGTAGTGGTAGTAGTAGGAGTAGTAGTAGTAGTAGTAGTAGTAGTAGTAGTAGTAGTAGTAGTAGTAGTAGTAGTTAGGTAGTAGTATTAGTAGTAGTAGTAGTAGTAGTAGTTAGTAGTAGTAGTAGTTAGTTGTAGTAGTATTGGTAGTTAGTAGTAGTAGTGTAGTAGTAGTTAGTAGTAGTAGTAGTTAGTAGTTAGTATTAGTAGTCGTAGTAGTAGTAGTAGTAGTAGTAGTAGTGGTAGTAGTAGTAGGTAGTAGTAGTAGTAATCGTAGCAATAGTCGTTAGTAATCGTGAAACGTAGTAGTAGTAGTAAGTAGTAGTAGTAGTAGTAGTAGTATAGTAGTAGTAGTAGTAGTAGTAGTAGTAATAGTAGTGGTAGTAGTAGTAGTAGTAGTAGTAGTAGTAGTAGTAGTAGTAGTAGTAGTAGTAGTAATAGTAGTCGTCGTGGTGGTGGAAGTAGTAAACGTAGATGTGAAGTAGTGGTAGCTCCCATTCCAGCTCCCACTGTGATTTCCACTCGCGTTGCAATCCCCACTATAACTCATGTTTCCCTCGCCCTCCTGCTTGTAGTCATCGTTCTCCTCCTTACCTCCTCTCTCTTCCTTTCCCACTGCCACTACCTCTACTCCACCCCCTGCTCTTACTGCTTCCCCTGCTCCAGCCAGCAACTCACACGCCTCCTCCTCATCCCCCTATGGCCCCCTCGTGTTCGTCCTGAAAGTTGTGTCATTGGACCGTCCGGTTCTGTACCAAGCCCTCCCCCATTGCGGGTCAACGCGGTCGTCGAGGCGTACCCATGTAACAAGAAGGGGATCAATGCGCGCCGTCATCGTCAGCGGCACCGTCAGCGTCGCCCTTCTCCTCCTCTTCCTGCGCCTCGCTCTTCTCCTCATCCTCCTATTTCCTGATCCTCCTCCTCTTCCTCCTCCTCCTCTGCCTCCAAGTTCTGTGGCTCCTCATCCGGGGCGCACCGTGCGGTCGGTGCTGTTGCCCTCCTCGTCGAAGGCCGCCAAGAAATCCTCCACGCTGCGCAACGCGTCCGTGAGGGAACGCTCCTGGCAACATTCAAAATGGCGGTCGCAATAACCACGCATATCGCAGGTTGCGATTTGCATCGCATTCGCTTGCGCATTGCGACCCCATGGTTAAACAATGCGTATGCTTCGCCATGCTGTCGTACCAAGGTGTAGACGATATGGGCCGCCGTGCGAAGAGGTCGGTCGGCTGTTTGCGAATGTGCTAAGTTGCCTTTCGGGCCTACGGCTTGTTGAAACTGATCCTGGCGAAGGACCCAACCATATACAGTTGTGGGTACTGTCGTTGTGAGCATCGCCTTCGGTGAAGCTCCCTCTGGGGCCACTAATCGCGTGACGAGTGTGCCGGAATTGGTGGGGCGGCCCTCGGTGAGGTCCCTCTGGAAGAATAATTACTCACTGCGTGGAACTCCCCATATGTGCATCTCATGTTTTATGTCATGCCGTGGTGAGTGTCTGTTCATGAACGGTCGACTACAATAGCGCGTCCACGTGGGCGACAGGGCCGACGAAGACGAGTGACCCCTAATGCGAGTGATTGCGTATGAGTCAGAGTGAGCTTTGAGTATGGTTGAATGCGAGCCTCTTCCTCTTCATCCCCCTCCTCAGCTGCCAGGCCTTCCCCTTTTCAGCCCGTGGTAGCTTTGGAGCTTCCCACATGTGCATATGTTGTAGGATAGTTGGCAGTGGGATATGTAAGACGAGCGCTTAGCCACACAAGGCCATAAGTGCATGTCATGTTGGAGAATAGTGCCACGAGAAACAAGCAAACCGCCAGAGACATCCCCACAAAATGGCCGCGAACGAGCCCGTGCAACCACCCCTGGCGGCTCCCCTTAGGGGTGCTGAAACCAGCGCCCCGCCTGAGACATCCTCACAATCTGCTCTCCAAGCGAAGGATGTTGAGCCCGGAAACAAGCAAACCGCCGGAGACATCCCCACAAAATGGCCGCGAATGAGCCCGTGCAACCACCCCTGGCGGCTCCCCTTAGGGGTGCTGAAACCAGCGCCCCGCCTGAGATATCCTCACAATCTGCTCTCCAAGCGAAGGATGTTGGGCCCAGAAACAAGCAAACCGCCTGAGACATCCCCACACAATGGCCGCGAACGAGCCCGTGCAACCACCCCTGGCGGCTCCTCTTAGGGGTGCTGAAACCAGCGCCCCGCCTGAGACATCCTCACAATCTGCTCTCCAAGCGAAGGATGTTGAGCCCAGAAACAAGCAAACCGCCTGAAACATCCCCACAAAATGGCCGCGAACGAGCCCGTGCAAACACCCCTGGCGGCTCCCCTTAGGGGTGCTGAAATGAGCGCCTCGCTCGAGACATCCTCCAAATCTGCTCCGAAAGCGAAGGATGTTGGGCCCAGAAAAAAGCAAACCGCCTGAGACATCCCCACAAAATGGCCGCGAACGAGCCCGTGCAAACACCCCTGGCGGCTCCCCTTAGGGGTGCTGAAACCAGCGCCCCGCCTGAGACATCCTCACAATCTGCTCTCCAAGCGAAGGATGTTGAGCCCGGAAACAAGCAAACCGCCTGAGACATCCTCATAAAATGGCAGCGAACGAGCCCGTGCAACCACCCCTGGCGGCTCCCCTTAGGGGTGCTGAAACCAACGTCCCGCCTGAGACATCCTCACAATCTGCTCTCCAAGCGAAGGATGTTGGGCCCAGAAACGAGCAAACCGCCTGAGACATCCCCACAAAATGGCCGCGAACGAGCCCGTGCAACCACCCCTGGCGGCTCCCCTTAGGGGTGCTGAAGCCAGCGCCCCGCCTGAGACATCCTCACAATCTGCTGTGTGTTGAGTAAGTCTCAGACTATGAGTAAGTCTGAATATGAGTACGCCTGGGTATGAGTAAGTCTGAATATGAGTAAGTCTGAGTATGGATATGTCTGAGTGTGAGTAAGTCTGAGTATGAGTACGTCTGGGTATGAGAATGTCTGAGTATGAGTAAGTCTGAGTATGAGTAAGTCTGAGTATGAGTAGGTCTGAGTATGAATATGCTGAGTATGAGTAAGTCTGAGTATGAGTATGTCTGAGTAAGAGTAGGTCTGAGTATGAGTAGATCTGAGTATGAGAGTATCTGAGTATGAGTAAGTCTGTGTATGAGCAAGTCTGGGTATGAGCAAGTCTGAGTATGAGTAACTCCGACAGGAGGGGAGGAGGAAAGAGGAGGAGGGAGAGGGAGTAGGAGGCGTCCAAATAATAACCAGAACCCCATCTTAGGATATGGGGAACAATATAACGGGTGTGCCGTAACGGATGGGGGAGACGCATGCGAACAGTTTCGCTGGGGCCTTCGGTGGAGCTCCCTATGGCGCCACGGAGCGTGTTAGGGGTATGCCGAACTGGCTGGGGGGACACGCATGTGGACACCGCCATCAGGGCCTTCGGTGGAATTCCCTATGAACCGTGAGAAGGGTGTTCCGGAATTGGGAGGGGACGCATGCGGACGGTGCCATTGGGACTTCTGCTGCGGCTCCTTCTGGGGCCACGATCCGTGTGAGGCGTGTGCCGAAACTGGTAGGGGGGGGGGCGCATGCGAACGGTGCCACAGGGTCCTTCGGTGGAGCTCCCCATGGGGCCAAGGGTCGTGTGAGAGGTGTGCCGAAATGGCTCCGGTGGAGCTCCCTATGGGGCCACGGATCGTTTGAGAGGTGTGCCGAAATTGGTGGGGAATGCGCATGCGGACGGTGCCTCTGGCCCCTTCGGCGGAGCTCCTTATGGGGCCACGAACCGTGTCAAGGGTGTACCGACATGGATGTGGGGACGCATGCGAACGGTGCCACTGAAGGCCTTCGGTGGCCCCCCTCTTGGGCCACGAACCGTGTAAGAGGTGTGCCGACATGCGTGGCGATGCTAGTGATGATGACGGCGATGGTGATGACGATGATGTTGATGGTGACGGCGATGATGATGACGATGATGGTGATGGTTACGGCGACGGTGATGATGCGTATGATTATGGTGATGATGATGATGGTGATGATGATGAGATTGACGATGATGAGGATGATGATGTTGTTGATGATGATACTGATGATGATGATGATGATGATGATGGTGATGATGATGATGATGATGATGATGATGATGATGATGATGATGATGATGATGATGATGATGATGATGATGATGATTGAGGAGAGGAGGGGGAGGAGGATTAGAGGAGGAGAACGCGGGACGCTGTCTCTTCACAACGAGGACCCAACACTACAGCATGGTTGGAAAAAGCCAACGCGCGCTACTCGCAACACTTTTCGTACACATGGGGCCATGCTCAATCTACGCGTACGTATCGACGCCCAACTGCGATGCAGCGTGCAACGTGCAGGTTGCTCCACTACATGCCACACCGTCTACCCATGCTTGCAAAGGTTGGATCAGCGCGCGAGGCATGTGACTTCTCCTCTCCCTCTCCCATTCTGCGGGCGGGGTTCGGGAAGCAGAGCGGGAGTGGAAGTAGAGAGCATCACACTGACTCTCAATTCGATGCGTGGCCATGCCCGTGCCATGTCCCTTTGCCGCCTGCACAACACTTTTCGCATCGACCTGGCATCCTTGTAGCGAGGGCGACGCCGACGGCGACGACCACAACGCGACCGCGAGACGACGACGAGACGGCGACGGACACGGCGACGGCAACGACGCAACGATAACAGCGCTACGACGTCGCGACGACGACACACCGACGCGACGACGGCGACGACGAGCCCGCTCCGCGTCGGCGGAGCCACAGCGCGCCCGCTCGATGGCTCGCCAGAGCACGTCCCTGGCAGCGGCCTGCTCCTGCAAGGGGGAGGGGCCGCCGTTGGCGGGGCGGCGGATCGCCGGGGGGGGAGGGCACTGCGCGCGAGGCCGAAGCCGATTGGGGAGGTGAGGCGATGTCGAGTTTTGGCCGCCGAGGCACAATGTGCGAAGCCAAGGCCGAGGGTGAGGTGCTGAGCTGGGCGTACTCGCGCCTACGCCTCCTGCCCGCCCCTTCCCACTGCGCCGAATCTTTTTCTGTCCGTCGGCTGGTAGTTGCGGGATTCGACACGTCGTCTGCTGCGCAATCGGAAAAGGTGGAGCTGCTGTACACTGGAAGATGCATAGGGGGAGGATACAGACGAACAGGAGAAGGTTGGAGCGTCTGGTTGGTGGACGAGCAGGAGGATGATGAGCAGGATCGTTAGGAGGATCAGGGCAAGGCGGAGGACAAATTTGCGAACAGACCTGGAGCCGCGAAACGGGCCTCCGCAATCCAGAAGAACCTGCCAGGGCAATGCCAAGGGGGGGGAGCCACTTCCTCGAGGAGGACAACCCAGGACCCCCCGAGCCCCCCAGACCATCCCAAAGCGCCCAACATCATCCAAACGCCTTCTCGACCCTGGACCCTCGAGAGCAGCTGGCTTCTGCGGCCGGGCCCGCCGCCGTTCTGATGCCGCCGGCTTCCGCCGTAGGCGAGGACGGCGCCGAGGGCGAAGACCTTCCTGGAGCGCCCCGCGCGGCACCGCGCCCGCCCGTCCACCCCGAGTCGAGCGCCAAGGCCCGCCCGCCCCACCCCCCCCAAGGGGCGGCTGCCGCGGCCTGGTGGGACAACGCCGAGGCCGCCCTGCTCTCGGCAACTCCGAGCACTCGCCGCGCCTCTCTGCCAGGCCAGCTTTGGGTGGGGATGACCAGAAAGCGGGGGGGAAAAACGAGTGCACGAATGAACGAATGGATGGATGAACGAATGGAGAACCAATTTGTCCATTCGCATTGTTTTCGGGTGGGGATGATCAGAAAGCAGTGGGTGGAAAAAGCCCGTGCACGAATGAACGAATGGATGGATGAACGAATGGAGGACCCATTTGTCCACTCGCATTGTCTTTTCAGTCGCTCGTTGGGGGGCAGGGGCCGACGGGCGGCCAACGAAGAAGCATGGACTTCAGTATGAGGTTGTCCGCTCCCCCTCCTCCTCCTCCTCCTCCTCCTCCTCCTCCTCCTCCTCCTCCTCCTCCTCCTCCTCCTCCTCCTCCTCCTCCTCTCCCACCATCCCCCGTCCCATTCACCCTGCCATTATTCCACCACCAACGTCCTTTTCCTCATCCCCTCCCTCGTCGTCTCCGTCGTCGTCCTCCTCCTTCTTCTCCTCCTCCTCCTCGCTCCGCCAGGCTGCAGAGGGGGAGGAGGGGGAGGAGGGGAAGGAGTACAGCATCGGGCCCGCTGTCTGCAGAGGGGACTTGGGAGATTCGATGACGAGGCCGAGGACCATGAGCGCCTAACGATTGGGCTCGGTGGACCACACTCCATCGTCATGATCCAGACGTTCTCGGAATGCTGGGCATCGGCTCGCGCGCACGGCAAAAGGTCCGGCTGCATCTCCCGAGTAGCATGAAGTGCTCTCGAGTATCGTCGCTGCGATGGTCGTGTGATGTCCACCGTGTGCTGCCCCGCTGCTGAGGCGCATGGCTGATATGTTCCCTTTCGCCATATTGCATGTCCTCATCCTCCTCTTCCCTCCCTCAGCCTCTTCCCTCCCTCAGACATAGCGTCCCTCAGCCTCCTCCTCCTCCTCCTCCTCCTCCTCCTCCTCCTCCTCTCCTCCTCCTCCTCTTGCTCCCTCAGCCTCAGCCTGCACCCTGCTCCTCCTGCTCCTCCTGCTCCCCTTCCTTAGCCTCAACCTCCCTCATCCTCCTCGTGATCCTCACCCCTTCCATATCCCGCGCCTCCTGCTCCTCCGTTTGCTCCTCCCCCGACTGCTTCCCAATTCCTGCCTCATCCCCCCTCCTCCCCCCGCGGCCTTCGCCAGGCTGGCTCTTCTCTCCTCGAGTGTGTTCTCTGCCGTCGCCCGCAGCCCCTGGCAAGATCGCGCCGAAGAGGAGGGGCGGACGACGGACGAGGAGGGGAGGGAGAGGGGAGAAGCCAAGCCAAGTGCGCTCGCGCCATATCTGACATCCCATCCCTCCCTCCCACCGGCGCAGCGGAAGCGAGGCGCATCCCGAGGCCGGCACATGGTAACATATAAGCAGGCAGAGGACCGCAAGAAATACAGAGGTGCAAAACAAAAAACATAAGCAACAACTTTCGAAGCTCCGCGCAGATTTCCAGGATCTGCGCTGGGCCCCCCTGGCGGCGCCTCCAGCGCCGCCCCTGAACGTTCATATGCATGGCGTTGTTCCCCTTCGGGGAATACTCGCTCTTGGTGGCCCAGCCTCTGAAATCCGCCCCGCGAGGCGCCGTTTAAAGAGCGCCTCCGTGCCCCTCACGCGACAATCTCTCCCCCCCAATTCTCCAGACAGCCATGGGCCCCAATGAGGAAGGACGACTGCTTACCCCAAAGGCGGATGGAGGGAGAAGAAGAGGGAAGAGGCAGGAGAAGGGAGAATATGAGGAATGAAAAGGAATATGTAGGAAGCAGGAGGCAGGAGGATGGAGGGAGGAGACTAGTGTTCAAGCAATTCCTATGCAGACGTGGTCTGCGGGGGAGGAGGGAGGACCAGGAGGGGGAGGGACGAAGGAAACATGCCCTCTGCCAAAGGCCGCCTCGCCAGACAGATCGTTCTGGTCACATCGCCCGTCCCCTGCCCACGCCTCGAGAGGGACAGCTCCCTCCCGCCGATGCGGCTCTGTGCTTTCGGGTCGGGCCCCCAACGAGTCCCATTGAACGGGGCTTCTCTTCTCTCCGATGCCTCCGAGAGAGAGGGCAGGTCTCTTTAACAAGGCGTGCCGCCGTGAGGCCATCTTCGAGCCCAAAGGAGCTGGTGGCGTCCTGACTGGCCTCTTGAGAAAAATCACACGGAGGTCAAACACGGGGAGGCTGCCTTGACAGCGGCCACATCCTGAGAACTGGGGGGGCGCGGGACAATGGCAGCCCGGTGCTTGCGAAAGTGGCAACACGAATGCTTTGGGACTGTCATGGCTGCTTCTCATTCGCTCGTCTGACTGTTGGTTGGCGGGTCTCACGCCGATGATACAGCGAGCAGCGGCCTGCGCCTTCACCGTTCCCTCCGTCGCTTCCTCGAAGGCCCTCGTTGCCGCCTGGCCGGCGCGGTGGCAGCAGTGGCGGGGGCCTCCTTTCTCCTTCCTCCCCCATGAGAAGCGCATCGAGGAGTGGGCCATGGGGCCATGGGGGGAAGTAACTGCCCCCGAAATCCCTCATTGAGGTGGGAGGGTGGGAGGGTGGGTCTGGGGATCCGCGTGATGGGTCCTGAAACCATACGGGTGACATGCCTTCGGTCTCTCGACGGTGTGGGCGCACAAATTATGCACGATCAACTCTCTGCGGACCCTCACGATCTCACTACGCCTCCATTTCCGTTTATGTCCGTTTCTTGTTTGCCGTTCTAATTTTCACGTTTCTGCCCGTGTCCCCGTTGACAGTCGGCGCGTAAACGTCCGTGAGGGCAAGAGACTCATCCGAGGAGAAGCAGGACGCAAACCACGACACAGGACACTCAAAAGGGCATGGAGGGGAGGACCAGGAGCCCATGCGGGTCCCTTTGATTTTGAAGGGATGGCGTACTTACTGATGCGTGCCGACTGTAATTTCATCCTTTTTTGTTCTCTCTCTCTCTCTATCTTGCTCTCTCTCTCTCTCTCTTTCTCGCTCTCTGGTGTGGCGGACTCGTGCAGCCCAAGGGTGGCCCATCGTTCCCCGACGCCCCCTTTCTGGGAGGCCGCTTGAGTCGGGAGCCCACTGAAGGCCTTCTCGGAGCGGCATGTGGGGCCTCTTGGGCCATCCCGGACGCTCTAAGCACCGAGCAAGGGAACACGCATGCGGACGTCACGCAAGGCCGCTCGATGTGTCAAGCGATGTTGGCCTCTTTGGGGGCCTCCTGGGGAGCAGAGGGGCAGTTGGCCGAGGTCCCGAGGTGGGCTCGGCACGCGGGGACGACGAGTCCAAGAGTCTCGCCGACACGAGCTGGTGCCTATTCCTCGATTATTCGCAATGAAGCCTGTGACTGGCCCCGCTCCCCCCCACTCCCCCCCTGGTCACCTCACGATTCGCGCGGGCGCCGTCTCTGGGAAACAAACATCCCTGAGAATTCGCAGACGCAGGCGCGAATCGTGACGTCACCGACCCCCTCCCCCCTCCCCACCTCGCCCGGTCACGCCCGTCATCGCAAGGGGATGGAACAATGGGCTCCAAAAGTCTCACAGACACGAGCTGGAAACTCCGACCTCCGGCCAGCAGAGCCCTGCCGCTGGAGCTCAGGAGGCCGCACGGTGGGGCAGCAATCGCGGGGGGGGCAGGGAAAGGGGCAGGGTGGGTGGCGGAGACTGCCCCTAAGGGTCATCTGGAGACGCCCGCAGGGCGTGCTCCTGAGCTCCGCGGGGGAGGCGGGCGGAGAAGGAGAAGAGACGGGGGGAGGGGGGAGGACCAGTGCAAACCCACAACACATCAACGATGTTGCAATACTCACTCCTTCCAAGTTCCCTCTTCACGGGGCACTACAAGAATACATGTTCGTTGCAGGGAATGCCCCATTGGAAGACAACCATCTGAGAACCCTCGATCGTGCCAGAACGCTGCTACTGGTGAGGCAGCATTACGAATCAACGTGACTCTGGTGCAGGCGGCAAGCATCGGAGGCCTCACAACGGCAAGGGGTGCAGCCGAGCACCCTCCTCGGTGGCCGCGGTGCCTTTTCGAGGGGGGCGGCCTCGGAGGGCCGCCCTGCAGGATGGCCACGGCGTTCTGCAGCTGCGCCGGCGAAGTTGCAGCCGAACACCTTCCGCAGGAGGCCGCTGTGCCTTCGCACGGGGGACCCTGTCGGCGCGGCCGAGCATCTTCGGGGGTAGCAGCGGTGCCTTCGCGAAAGGGGCGGCCTCGGACGGCCGCCTTGCACGAAGGTGGCGGCGTTCTGCGGCTGCGTCGGCGGGGAAGCGTCGCGTCCCCGGGCTGCAGGCATACGCGCGCGGTGCCACGTCGGCGGCGTCCGGAACGGTTGGCGAGGGGAACACACAGGTCTGGGGCCCTATCCACGGCCCAAGCCTGGTCCTTCGGCGCCTTCCCCCAACACGTCCGCCACACCGTCCCCCCCCTCGCCTGGTGGGGTTTGGCCGAAATGTCCGGCAGCGCCCACGCCAAGCGCGCTGCGACGGCCCAGAGGCGGCGGCGAGCCCTGGGGGGGAAGTGAGAAGGGGCGGGCCTTCTCAGAGGGCTCGGAAGCCCCCCAGTCTTCTGAGTTTTCGTTTGTTTGTTTGTTTTGTTTTTTTTTTTCTTCTGAGCCTTCCTCGAAGGCACAGGAAACTTCACATAAGGCTGGAGGGCTTCCGAGAAGTCCTGCCGCCTTCTGAAGGGGCCTCCTCCTTCTCAACCTTCTGAGAAGTTTTCTTTTCTGAGCCTTCCTCGAAGGCACAGGAAGCTTCTCAGAAGGCTGGAGGGCTTCTGAGAAGTCCTGCCGCCTTCTGGAGGGACAACGATAGAGGGGGGGAGTGGCATGAGGGGGGATACATCGACCTGGAATCGGCGATACATCGCCGATAGATCGGCGATAGGCCCCCGATAGCAAATGGGTACCTTCCTGGGCACGTTGGGGCTATCCCCCTACCGTCGCCCCTGATGAAGGGGCCTCCTCCTTCTCGCTTGCCCCCCTCGCTCGCCGACGGCACCTGCAACGGGCGAGCCTCCACGCAGGCACCCGGTGCGGCCAGACACCTTCCGCGGGTGGCCGCGGTACCCTCCGCAGAAGTCTGGGGCGGCCGCCCGGCGCGACGGGTGCACGGCGCTTCTTCTTATTCTTCTCATTGTTATTCCCCATATCCTAAGGATTGGGGTTCTGATTATTACTCTGACGCCTCCCACTGCTCCTCCTTCCTCCTTCCTCCCGCTCGCGCCTCCCTCCTCCCAACGATAATCACCAGATAAGACAAGACAAGATAATATACTACAAGAGAAGATAAGATAGCACAATATATGATAAGGTAAGATAAGATATATGACAAGGTAGGATAATATATAAGATAAGACAGCCTATGGAGTAATAAGATAAGACAAGATATGATGCGATAAGATGAGTTGATATAAGATAAGCTAAGACAAGATAAGAGATTTCAAGATAAGATAAGATAGAGGGTAATAAAGGTAAGATAAGATAGGACTCGATAAGATAAGATGAGACTCGCTCTCACTCAGACTCACTCACAGTGACATTCACTCACACTCACACTCTCTCATGATCACAAAACGCTGCCAGGGGCATCATTTGGGAACCCCAAGGGGGAGCCACCCTGGCTGATCTCACGAGCCCGTTCGCGCCGATTTTGGTGGGACGCCTCAGCTAGAATTGCCGTTTGGCGTCCCCAACATGTATCTTTTGAGAGCCTCATGGTCACAAAACGCTGCCAGGGGCATCATTTGGGAGCCCCAAGGGGAAGCCACCCTGGCTGATCTCACGAGCCCGTTCGCGCCGATTTTGGTGGGACGTCTCAGCTAAAATTGCCGTTTGGCCTCCCCAACATGTTTCTCTTGAGAGCCTCATGGTCGCAAAACGCTGCCAGGGGCATCACTTGGGAGCCCCAAGGGGGGAGCCACCCTGGCTGTTCTCACGAGCCCGTTCGCGCCGATTTTGGTGGGACGTCTCAGCTAGAATTGCCGGTTGGCGCCCCCAACATGTCTCTCTTGAGAGCCTCATGGTCACAAAACGCTGCCAGGTGCATCATTTGGGAGCCCCAAGGGGGAGCCACCCTGGCTGTTCTCACGAGCCCGTTCGCGCCGATTTTGGTGGGACGTCTCAGCTAAAATTGCCGTTTGGCCTCCCCAACATGTCTCTATTGAGAGCCTCATGGTCGCAAAACGCTGCCAGGGGCATCATTTGGGAGCCCCAGGGGGGGTCCACCAGGGGCTTCATAGTCACCAAACGCTGCCAGGGGCAGCATTTTGGCTTCCCAAAGAGGAGTCGACCCGGGCCTCCTAGTCGCCAGACACTGCCAGGGGCACCATTGGGCTCGCACCCAGACTCACTCATACACAAGCTCACTCACACTCAGATTCATTTCTTCAGAGTCAGGCACACACAGACGTACCCATACTCAGACTCACCCACACTCAGGCTCACCTAACCCAGACTCCGTCAGAAGCCAGTCGCGAAGAGAGCAGAGAGGAGAGAGAGAGAGAAAGAGAGAGAGAAAGAGAGAGAGAGAGAGAGCGGGAGAGAGCGAGAGAGAGAGAGAGAGGGCGAGCGAGCGAGCGAGCGAGAGAGAGAGAGAGAGCGAGGAAGAGAGAGAGAGAGAGAGGAAGATAGAGAGAGAGAGAGAAGGAGAGAAAGAGAGAGAGAGAGAGAGAGAGCAAGAGAGAGAGAGAGAGGAAGCGAGAGAGAGGGAGAGGAGAGAGAGAGAGAGAGAGCGGAGAGAGAGAGAGAGGGGGGGAGTTGAGAGAGGAGACAGGCGAGAGAAAGAGAGAAGAGAGAAGAGAGAGAGAGAGAAGAGAGAAGAGAGAAGAGAGAAGAGAGAGAGAGAGAGAGAGAGAGATAGAGATAGAAGAGAGAGAGAGAGAAGAGAGAGAGAGAGAGAGAGAGAGAGAGAGAGAGAGAGAGAGAGATAGAGAGAGAGAGAAGAGAGAGAGAGAGAGAGAGAGAGAGAAGAGAAGCGAAGAGAAGAGAAGAGAGAGATAGAGAGAGAGAGAGAGAGCGAGAGACGAGAGAGAGAGAGCAGAGAGAGAGAGAGAGCGGGAGAGAGCGAGGGAGAGCGAGAGAGAGCGAGAGAGAGCGAGTGAGAGCGAGAGAGAGAGAGAGCGAGAGAGAGCGACAGAGAGCGAGAGAGAGCAAGAGAGAGCGAGAGAGCGAAAGAGAGAGAGAGAGAGAAGAGAGAGAGAGAGAGAGAGAGAGATAGAGAGCGAGGGAAGAGAGTGAGAGAGAGAAAGAGAGAGAGAGATAGAGAGAGAGAAAGAGAGAGAGAGAGATAGAGAGAGAGAGAGAGAAGAGAAGAGAAGAGAAGAGAAGAGAGAGAGCGAGAGAGAGAGAGAGGGAGAGTGAGAGAGAGAGGAGAGAGCAGAGAGAGAATAGAGAGAGAGAGAGAGGAGAGAGAGAGAGAGAGAGAGAGAGAGAGGCAGAGATAGAGGCAGAGAGAGAGAGGCAGAGAGAGAGGCAGAGAGAGAGAGGCAGAGAGAGAGGCAGAGAGAGAGAGGAGAGAGAGAGAGAGGCAGGGAAAGAGAGGCAGAGACAGAGAGAGGGCAGAGAGAGAGAGAGAGAGTCAGAGAGAGCAGAGAGAGAGAGAGAGAGGCAGCTCAGTCACACTTAAATCCAGATTCGTCCTCACCGAGTCCCACCACCAAGGGAGCGCCAGCAAGGAGATGCACATATGGGGATCCCCACGCAGTGAATAATTATCCTTCTCCTTATTCTTCTTCTTATTATGCTTCTTCACCGCCTTCTTCTTATTCTTCTTCCTGCGGGCATCCGTCGGCGATCCGTGGCTGCTGTTCTCTGTGTCGCGTTGGCTTTGCACGCAGTCCGGGAAAATCTAAAGAACCCAGAAAAGACGTACGCGCCCAGCCGCGTACCTGAATACGGCCCCCCGTTTGCGATAGCAGCTTGTTTCGCAAACGCACGCGCAACGCGTAAATTTGAAACCAACGTGGGTTCAAGCACGTGTACGTTTTTCTTTCGCTCCTGGAAAGAAACGAGGTGGTGGACGACGGAAGGATCGGGAGCTGTCGTGGACGGGCCTAAAGCTGTGCAGCCCATGATGTCAGCTGAGGTCATCGGCGCCCGAGTCAGACTCGCCTTCCTCGTCAGGCGGCGCTCGGGTCGTGGCCTCCCCTCGAGCCGTCACCCAGGGGAGGTTGGCATCTCTGTGGCGGAGCGAAGACAAAACCTAGTGGAGCGAAGCGAAGCCCTGCGCGACCCCAAAGAAATTGGGACCAGAAGCACCCAGAGTGGCCCGACCATTCACAGCCAGCGTCTGAGCCAAGATCCTGCGTTCCGCGAGGTTGAGGCCCTCGTGGGGCCCCAGAATCTCGGAAAGATCAGGAGGAGCGGGGAGGAGATGGACGGCGGTAGGATGTGGAGGGGTGCATTCGGGGGCCAAATGGGGTTCCGCTCCCCCTTCGTCACTCGCTCACGCACATGCTGGCCCGATCACGAAAACTCTTTCTTCGACCTCTTCCTTCTCCTCCCCCTCCTCCTCCTCCTCCTCCTCCTCCTCCTCCTCCTCCTCCTCCTCCTGAAGGTCCTTTTCGCTGCCTTTCCTATTCTCCTGGTCTTGATCAGGGACCCTCGAGCTGGCGAAAGGGGCTAGCCTCTCTTCGGCTTGGCCTGCATTTGCCTGCTCCGCGGGCCCCGGGCGCAAATAAAGCTCCAGACCCCCCTTCCCCCCGCCCCCCCCCCCCCCCGGCGCCCGCGACGGCCTCCAGGTGGGATTCCGCCTCCTGGCGCCGCTGGGTCAGCCACTGCGCCCGCTCGTCCGCGGACTTCAGCTTCTCCCTGACCTCCTCCGGCGGGCGCGGGCGCGGGCGGGATCCGCTCGTCTCTGAGGATCCCGCTCCAGCTCATCCAGCAAGGTCTGCGCGAGCAAGGGAGGTCCTCTTCCCGACCCCTCTCGCCTCCAGCGGCAGGCAGTTGCAGCATAGTCCAGTTTGGGCCGCCAGAACTTGCCGATGCCGCTGCCGCCGCTGCTGGCGCGGCAAAGTTCGGCGCCGAAGAATTCGAAGCAACCTGCGAGTCGAACTCACGATGGCCGAACGGCCACAAACGCCAGAAACGCCAGAGAGAGGCACAGGAGGAGGAGGAGGAGACGGAGGAGGAGGAGGAGGAGGAGGAGGAGACGGAGGAGGAGAAGAAGAAGGATGCCTCTTTGGTGCACCTTGGGGCTTCCTGGGGGCTCCTGGGGGCCTCCTGGGGAAGCCTCTTGGAGGGCTGTGGCGCGGCCGCTGCCGGCAAGGCGGGGCCGCGGGCTCGGATCGGAGGGCCCCGCCCCCGAGGTTTCCCGAGGCGCCCCTTGGCTACCCCGGGCAGCCAAGCACGCAGGCTCGGAGCAGGCGCAGGCCTGTCCAGCCGCACAGGGCCACTGCACAGCAAATGCTAAAGCACGGCACGAGGCGTGAAAAGGAAGTCGCCGCCGGGCTGGGCGTCGCGTAAATGGGGGGGGCGATAACTGGGGGGGGAGAAGACAGGTGCGGTTGTCGGGCGCTGAAGGCCCCCTTTGGGGCCCTAAGAGGGCCCTTTAGGGCCCCTAAAGGGCCGCTTCTCTGCAGCCCTCGCTGCCCCCTCATTTGTCGTCCATCGCCCCTCCACTAGCGACGCCCACCGGGCACGCGCTGCTGGTCAGTCGGGAGCTCGGAGGGCACCCGTCGGCGGGGCGGCCACTGACTGGTGGCAGTGGCCGTGGAACGGGAGCACGGGCGCAGCGTGGTACCACCCAGCCGGCGGTTGAGAGGGAGCCGATGTCGGCTGCCAGGCTGCGTTTCCGCGAGGGCTGAGGGGAGCGGAGGCCCGACGGCGACAACGGCACCGAACAAACGAGTTGCCCATGCAGTCTAGCGCAGAGACACGACTGCGTCTTGTTTACTCCCTGGGGGTCACGTGCGCCACTCTTGGAAGGGAGGGGAGGGGGCGAGGGAAGGGTCATGGTAGCAAGGGGGGCGGCGGGGGTTGTGGCGAGGGCGCCTGCGCCAGCTTTGATGCGCGTCGCCGACGACGGCCACGCCACGACGGCGACGACATCGTCCGAATGCCTCCAGCCCTCGGAGGTCTCTCTGGAGGCCCCCAGTAGCTGCCGGCGATCTCTCCGGAGGCCTTCGGAGGTCCAGAACAACACCACGGCACCATCGCAATGTGTACAGCAGTGCGGCAGACCAGTATCGAAATGGCCTGCGAACGTCACGTCGTACTTGTTAACGCCGCAGAGAGCCTGGGAGGACAACGTCCCTGTGAGCACCGCAGTGGCCGTCTACCTCGCCACCGGCTTGTGCCACCAGTGCGCCAAGGCCCCGGGGGGACAAGCCCAATGAACATCAGGCCTGCGCGATTTGAAGCTCCTGCCGCCAAATCCAATTTTCTAGGTTTCTAGGTCGGACACGGAGCAGGGATGCAACACCCTTGCGACGTCCATGTCGGAACGACTGATACGGGCACCAGGCCAAACAACTCCGAGATCTCAGGTTGCAACCGAGGCTGGGGGGCAAGGGCAGCCTTGATCAACCATGGCTAATTTTCGACCCTGTTTGAAACGTTGGAGGCCTCCTGCGAGCACTGGCAACACGCCTGTGAGTACCAAAGCGCCACGAGGGCCATCAGAGGTCTGGAGGGCACCGCCGCAGCACGATGCATGTCAGCACCACAATACTCCTGCGCGTATCGCACTACTGCAAGCACCCTGAGGGTGCGCGAGCACCCCATCATGCAAAGCGCGTCACCGCCGCAGTAGCTCGCGAAAGCCACCACATGCCCGCTCGCGAGCGTAAGAAGGGGGGGAGCCCCCCCGTGCGGTCGTCACCCTTGCAGGGGGGGGGGGGGGCAGGGGGGGGCAACAGACGTTACCCTCTTCAAGGAAAAGAAAAAACATCCGAGAGAGCGTGTTTCAAACAATATCCTCTCTGGCGAGCTCCGCAGGGATGGCCCACAAGAGCCTGCTCTTGCCCAGGGCCTTTCTTTGCGGAGCTTCCGCGGGAGGACAGCACTTCTTGTAGGCACGACGAGCTGTACCGCCGAGGCTGCGAACATAACAGCCTTACGGAGGGGTCGGGTCGGGCGGGCGGGACATGAAATGCATGGTGATCGCTTGCTCGCTCGCTTGGGCAGGGAAGGGGCGGGTCCCACCGATCGGTCGCTCGCTGAAGCAAGCGAGGGTCGGTTCGAGCGGGCGGGACATCTACTTGAATCATACTAGGACTCGATCCAGCTCTACAAGATCTTGCCAGGGCTCGATCGATCTTTCGCCGCAGCCTACTAAGGATCGATCGTCGTCGTCGTCGTCGTCGTCGTCGTCGTCGTCGTCGTCGTCGTCGTCGTCGTCGTCGTCGTCGTCGTCGTCGTTGTCGTCCTCGTCGTCGTTATCGTCATCTGCATGTCGTCGTCGTCGTCGTCGTCGTCCTCGTCGTCGTCGTCGTCGCCGTCGTCGCTGCCCGACGGCGGCGCCAGCGCCCGCGCTCGCCGTCGTCGGCTGCAGGGGGTGAGGGGGAGGGGGGGGGCCGTTCGACCCGCCCCCCCTCCAACGGCAATTCGGGCGGGAGGTGGGGGGCCCTCTTCTCGGTTCGAGCCCCCCCCCCTTGAGAGAGTGGGGGGCGCCCCTCCGTCTCGACCCTCCCCCCTGTCATTGAGGGAGGGAGGAGGGATTGAGGGAGGGAGGAGGGGCCCGGTTCGACCCCCCCCTCTTGAGGGAGGGTCCTCCCAACCGCTGGGTTCGAAACCGCCCCCCCCCTGCAATTCAGGGGGGGGCTCCCCCTCCCAGGTTCGACGCCCCCCCACTTGAGGGGGTGGGGGGGGGCGCTTTGAACCCCTCCGCTCTCAATTCAGGGGGGGGGGAGGGGGCTATTCGACCCCGCCCCCCTTCTAAGCGTCTACAGAACGCGCTCTTTCCTACAGAGGTGCGTGCCGAGGCACCCCATACAGGTATCATCACTGCTGAGGCCGTACTACAAATCATACTGAGGGGGCTGAACCGAACGGCGGTCATTCACTGTCCCTGGGTGCGTGGTTGAAAAAGAATTCCGCGATACGTATTGTTGTTGTTGTTGATGTTGTTGATGTTGTTGATGTTGTTGTTGTTGTTGTTGTTGTTGTTGTTGTTGTTGTTGGTGTTGTTGTTGTTGTTGTTGTTGTTGTTGTTGTTGTTGTTGTTGTTGTTGTTTGGTGTTTGGTGTTTGTTGTTTGTTGTTTGTTGTTTGTTGTTGTCGTCGTCCCACCCGCGACCCGCGCCGCGACCCATCCCGCCACCCACCCGTGGCCCACCCCGCGACCCACCCGCGACCCACCCCGCGACCCACCCGCGACCCACCCGCGACCCGCGCCGCGACCCATCCCACGACCCGCCCGCGAGCCACCCAAAGACCCCCCCGGCGACCCACCCGCGACCCACCCGCGACCCACCGGCGACCCACCCGCGACCTACCGCGACCCACCCGCGACCCACCCACGACCCACCCCGCGACCCACCCAAGATTGTCGGCGCCTGCGGCGGGTTTCTTTTGCATCCGTTCCAGGTGGAGAACCCGCGACCCAGATCGCGCCCGCGACCCACCCACGACCCACAGCGACCCACCCGCGACCCACCCCGCGACCCACCCAAAAAAATTTTCGGCGCCTGCGGCGGGTTTCTTTTGAATTCGTTCCAGGTGGAGAACCTGCGACCCACCCGCGACCCAAACCGCGCCCGCGACCCACCCGCGACCCACCGCGACCCATCCGAGACCCACCCGCGACCCACCACGCGACCCACCCAAAATTGTCGGCGCCTGCGGCGGGCTTCTTTTGCATTCGTTCCAGATGGAGAACCTGCGACCCACCCGCGACCCAAACCGCGTTCAGTGTACAAATAAAATTTGTCGGCGCCTGCGGCGGGTTTCTTTTGAATTCGTTCCAGGTGGAGAACCTGCGACCCACCCGCGACCCAAACCGCGCCCGCGACCCACCCGCGACCCACCGCGACCCATCCGAGACCCACCCGCGACCCACCACGCGACCCACCCAAAATTGTCGGCGCCTGCGGCGGGCTTCTTTTGCATTCGTTCCAGATGGAGAACCTGCGACCCACCCGCGACCCAAACCGCGTTCAGTGTACAAATAAAATTTGTCGGCGCCTGCGGCGGGCTGTTTTTGAATTTCTTCCAGGTGGAGGTGGAGAGCCCGCGACCCACCTGCGACCCAAACTACGTTCACTGAACAAGCCAAAATTTCGGCGCCTGCGGCGGGTTTCTTTTGCATTCGTTCCAAGTGGAGAACCTGCGACCCAAACCGCGTTCAGTATACAAATCTAAATCGGAGTGGGGGGGCCCGAACGGTCATTCACTGTCCCTGGGTACGTGGCTGAAGTGGGGATGCACAGCGAGAATTCTTGCTGTTGTTTTGTTGTTGTTTTGTTGCGTCGTCCCCCCCCCGCTTCGCGACCCGCCCGCGACCCACCCGCGACCCACCCGCGCGACCCACCCCACGACCCACCCGCGACCCACCCCGCGACCCACCCGCGCGACCCACCCGCGACCCACCCACGACACACCCCGCGACCCACCCGCGACCCACCCGCGACCCACCCGCGACCCACCCCACGACCCACCCACGACCCACCCGCGACCCACCCCGCGCCCGCCCCCTCACTCTTATCCGCGATTGTGGGGTGCTACGTATCATTTCGACGGTCCCCGCACTAATAGTATCCTTACGAACAAGCCGGTGCTAAAGGAAACAGGAACAACCCATCTTACTACAGGGACCCCTGCCGAGGAGGTCCTTGTCAAGGACATCCTCACCACATATTTCTCACTGAAGGGAGTCTCACTGAGGGTTCCTGTTGCCAAGGCATCCTTACAAATGAACGCATACTAAGGCATCCACAGTAAGGGCGTCCCAATCGAAGGGGTTCTTACAAAAGGACCCCTTGATACAGGGCATCCTTACTAATGAATTGTTCCTGATACGAAGGCGTTTTTTATGGAGGAATCTCTGCTAATGGAAGTCGTAGTAAGCAATCCTGACGGCCGGGGTCCTTACTGGGGGGCCTCCTTACTAAACGCATCCTCACTCAGGGGGCCGTATTCAAAGCATCCTCACTACGGATCTCTTGGCAAAGGCATCCGTACGAAGGACCCCCTACTAAAAGAAGCATGATTCACCAACTGTTCTTACAGGGATCCTTACCGAAGGGACCCTTGATAAAGGCATCCCCACGACGGCTTTCTCATTCAATAGATCCTGGATAAGGGCTCCTAGATACACACATCCTTACTTACTGGCGCTTGCCGCTTGCCAGCGACATCCCCTCGAAGGAGCCCTCAATAAAGGGGTTCTGACTAAGGGTGCGTTGATACAGACATCCTTGCTGATGAATGCTTGCTCAAGAAATCCTGTCTCGAGACCCCTTACTAGAAGGAACGCTTAGTAAAGATCCCTTACTGCAAACATCCTTACTAAGGATCTCCAGCTATGGCCTCAGTGGAGGTGTCCGCATGGCGTCCCATAAGGGCTTCATTGGCTAAGCTGTGCGTTAGTGCGAGGGGGGACGAAGAGAGCGAGAGAGAGAGAGAGAGCGAGAGAGAGAGAGAGACAGTGAAAGAAAGATGGACAGAGAAAGAGAGAGAGAGAGAGGGAGGGAGAGCAACCACGTCCTGCTCCTATTTCTCCCCTCAAGGGTTTGGTCTGCGTGAGAGAGAAACCAGACCCCCTTCTCGTTTCCTCGTCCCGAAGGACGCCGTACTAAACGACCCCTTACTCAGGATTCCTTGCTGAAAGCGTCGATTCTAAGGAATCCTTACTGGTACAGTCTGGCTCCTCCACGCATCCAAGAACTGGATCACCAAAGCCGCCAGCAGTGTGCATTTCTGAGTGGCAGCTTCCGCCAGCTTCCAACGAGACCCCGTTACAGATGCGCACCTCAAGTACATGAGAGCAGCAAGCAAATCCGCCCCTAACGAATCCTAACGTGCACGACTCCCGATGCAAGCAATGCTGAGCAAGAGAAGGAGATGAGGACTAAGAGAACGGAGGAAGAGGGGGAGGAGACAGGAATCACGGGGAGGGCGAGTGAGGTGAAGAGAGAACCATCTGCTGAAGGGAGGAAGGCAACGATTAGGAGGACGCAAGGATGCGGATACAGACACACACACAACGCAGACAAACATTACCCCAGTGCGACCCTACCTAGAAGTTGGAGCCCCTAGGAAAGCAGCATTTGTTGCTATGCTATGCTATGCTATGCTATGCCATGCTATGCTGCGCTATGCTATGCTATGCCATGTTATGCTATGCTGAGATGGAGCTATGCTAAAGCTCAGCGAAGCTACGATGAAGGTAAGCTAAGCTAAGATTAACCTGAGCTAAGCTGAAACTAAACTAAGCTAAGATGAAATAAGCTAAGCTAAGATAAGATAAGCAACGCTAAGCTAAGGGGACGTAACTGGGGGAACCGCGGGGCGGATACCGGGGGAACCGCCCGGGGCGAGCCCCACTGCCCGGCCCCTTTAAGCCCAGAGAGTAAGAACCCTTCTAGGCAGAGCCTAGGTAGGGAAACATCGGAACACCAAACATGAACCCGGCGCGACCCCAATTCGGGGAAAGCTTCGTACTACATGGGCGCAATGCTTGGCATTGCTTGGCGTTTCTTGGCATTGCTTGGAACAGGCGCAATAAGGACACGAGGCACCAGGGGCAGGGAAACCAAGGAACACGGGGAACCCGAAGAAGCCGGGGAACCCGGGGAACCCAGGGAAAACAAAGAACCCAGGGAACCAGGCACCCAGGGAACCCAGCAAACCCGAGTAACCCAAGGAACCCTGGGAACCCGGGGAACCCGAAGAACCCGGGGAACCAGGGGAACCCGAGGAACCCGAGGAACCAGGGGAACCCAGGGAACCTCCGAGGAACGGGCAACGTAACAATAGGAGGTATCGGGGGCGGGGATCCCGCCCCCGATACCTCCTATTGCTACGTTGCCCGAGCAACGGGCAAAGTTACCCTCGAGCACCAACCTTTAAACAAGTAAGAACCCCTTAGGCAAGCCTAATTGGGGAATAACTACCTGCTCAAAACAACATGATTGAATCGTATAACCAAACCAATCGACCTCGCAGCACGAGCCCCGAAGGATTCTGCGCCGTTAGCTTCTCCGGCACGAGCCCTAAGGGGTTCAGCGCCAGGGAACGTCAGAGCACAAGCCCAGCGCTTCCAGCGCGATTGGCACGAGCCCCCACGGGTTCTGCACCAAGAGCTCGTAAACCAAGAGCGCGAGCTCCGAAGGGTTCTGCGCTCGAAGCATACATGGAACGAACCCCGGAGGGTTCAGCGCAAGGGGACATGAGAGCACGAGCCCCGGAGGGCACGAGCCCCAAAGGATTCGGCGCTAAGGGCACGTAAGCCAAGAGCACGAGCCCCGAATGGTTCTTCGCTCGAAGCCTACATGGCACAAGCCTCGAAAGATTCAGCGCCGCATGGCACGGACACCGAAGGGTTCAGCGCCGCATGGCACGGATACCTAAGGCCCTTAGGTATCCGTGCCATGCGGCGCTGAACCCTTAGGCGAGTGAGGATCAGAGAGAATCTACCGCTGGAGAATGATGATCATGACGAGGAGGAAGAGGATGAGGAGGAGTATGAGGCGTGAACGTGCCCACGCATCGTGTGGCAGAATGCGTACTCCACCATCCCTGGGCCTCCACTTTTTGGCGTCGCGGCAATGTGCGCGGCGGCACGGCGGGGGCAATCAAGAGCGGGCGGGACACAATGTCGCGCCGTCCACACGAACACAGATCCTGCCGCACACACAGAGACACCTACACACTCGTCCCCTTCTGCGCATCGATGTGCCAACGGCTGGTCGTAGACTAATAGGATGCGCCAACATACACAATGCCTTCATTGTAAACTGCAATCGGCACACACACGCGCGTCGTAAGAAAACACGGCAAGAAATGGCAACCCAAGATTTTGGTGCCGGAAGCTTTTGCGAATCCAAGATCTGACGGGATGGAGGGCTGCCACCACGAGCACACGAGCGGCGCTCCGAACGCTTGGTGCGCTGCTCCCCTCTGGCATCGGCGATGACGCGGGGCCGGCACGTGGTCCACAAGTCGTGACGTCCACTTCGAATACGGGACGTCGGCCCCCCCTGCAAAAGGCGACAGGAGAGGAAGCAGTATGCACAGGAGCAGCAGGGAGGGGTCGCAACAGGAAGGGCAACGCAGGGCGGGGAGGGGAGTGCGATGGGCCGAGCACGAAAGCCCTGCGCGTATTCGTCTTGTTTGTCTTCTTTATCTATTTCGTTTTCTTCCTCGTCCTCCTCGTCTTCCTCCTCCACCTGCTCCTCGTCCTCCTCCTCGTCCTCCTCCACCTCCTCCTCCTCCTCGTCCTCCTCCTCCTCGTCGTCGTCCTCCTCCTCCTCGTCGTCATCCTCTTCTCGTCCTCCTCCTCCTCTTCTTCCTCCTCCTCCTCCTCCTCCTCCTCCTCCTCCTCCTCCTCCTCCTCCTCCCCTCTTCCTTCCTCCCCCCGCCTCCCTCCTCCTCCCTCCCCCCGGCCCCCCACGGCTGCGCCCGCGCTCTCCTCCGAGATGGCGCAGGAAGCGCTTCGGGACGCGGTGCTCCCTTCGCGGGGCGGGGGCCGTGCTTCGGGACTGCCAGGGGGGAGCAGGCGGAGGGCGGAGACGCAGCACCACGGCCCCCCGTCCAAGACGCAGCCGTTCCGCTCGAGGGGGTGGAAGAACGGCGAGTGGGACAGGGAGGGGCGGACAGAGTGGGCAGAGAAGGGAGAAGGGGACAGACTGGGACTGGATGTGGGAATGAAGTCCGCCTGTGCCACCCTCGTCGGGCCCTCCCCCCCTCCGACACCCACACCGTCGGCCTCGGGCACCCTGGCGCTCTCTCTACAGACGGATTCGACAACATCTGCAGATAGGATAACCACAGGTGAGCTTTTTTTTCGGCGTTTCGACATTGGGCGGAAAGGTGGGAGGGGGGGGGGTCTGGCTCCAGACGTCTGCTTAGTGCGACTGTTTGCAGCAGTGCGTCCTATGGGGGAGGGACGCCACCTGCACGAAACAGGCGCCAAAAACAGCCAAGTTCTACTCCATGGGGGGGGAGGGGGGGGTTGGGGGACCCCGCGCCGATCGGCAAAACAATGAATAAAACACGAACATCAGTCTGCGGACGGAGCGATCACATGTTACTGGCCGCCTGCGTTTCTCGCATGCCCGAAGGAGGGGAGAAGGCGGGTGGGACGGAGGGAAGCGGGAGGAGGACCGATGCTCTGTTTTGGTGCCACGGGTCGGCGGCGATTCTCACACCATGCTTGGCGACTCTTCCCTTTCGCAATCGCACTGGGGCCCAAACTCGGGCGACGTGCACAGCTTGCCGGAGTCCCCCTGCGCCTTGCCCAGCGCAATGGACGAGGTGGGAACAGCGCACGCCTCGCCCTGGCACTTCGAGGCGCTCTCCCAGAAGGGGAAGTAGTAGTGCTTGAGGTAGAGCATCACGTAACAGTCGACGCCGCGCTGCGAGAGATACGTGTCCGCAACCCGTCGTCCTCCGGCCGCGACCCGCGCCGCCTTCTCGCCAGCGGGCAGCCCGCCGGCGGGCGAGAGCGCCTCCTCGATCACCTCCCAGAGGTCGCTCAGGTCCTCCTTGACGTAGAATATCTCGCTGCCGTGGTGCAGTGCCTCGTACCAGAACTCCTCCCGCAGCTTGCCAGGCTTCCTCACCATGAAGACCGTCTGGTTGCAGGCGAGCTTGTACTTGAGCATCGCCGAATAGTGCCTGCCTGGGACGTGGAACGTGTACTTGTACTTACACTGGTCGTACAAACTAACGAAGTCCGTGCGCGTGCCGGTGCGGTTGTCGTTCCACAACATCGTGGTGACGTCGAACCCGTCCGGGACAACCTCCGCGAGGAGGGGCTTCAGATGCTCGGGGGGTCCTGCGTTCACCTTCTCGGAAAGCTTTTGCCTGCCGCCATTGCTGAGGGACCCGCGCCAGATGAAGCCCAACTTCTCCTTCTTGATTTCCCGCAGCCTGTCGGACACATCGCCCCATGCGTCTGACTTCCATTCTGGGTCATCAGGGTGCACCTCCTGTGAGTGGATGTCCCTGTAAAAGTCGAAGGTGAAATCTGGCATCGCCACGTCGGCCCTGGTCTGGTCGGACGAGTAGCCATGCAGAGGCAGGCCTACCCGCAGCCTCGACTCGGGGCAGTCGCCACTCATGTAGCGCCAGTACATCGAGATATTTCCCCCAAGTCTCTCCAGCTCTGGGCGCAGGTTGTCCTGCTGGCGCTCCACAAAGCCACGCAATATTTTGAGCATAGATATCCGCTTGGCCAATTCCCCACGGGGCACCTTTTGGCGGCGCGTACAAGGGGGTGGAGAGAGGGGGTAGGACCTCTTAGAAGGAGGCTGCTTCTTAGAAGGCGCCGGCCTTATATCTATAGATAAGGCCCGCGCCTTCTAAGAAGCAGGGGTGCTTCTAAGATTCTAAGAAGCCCTCCCCCCTCCCCCCATCCCCCGCTGCGCGTGGCTGAACCTGGAACATCCTCAGTTTCACGTCCCCGTCCGGGCGAAGCTCGAGTGCCACCCCCAGTCGGCCGGTCCCGAACTTCGTCTCCGGCTCCCTGTGCAGGTCCTCGGCGGACGCCCTCCGCTCTCCCCAGGCCCTCTGCAGGTACCCCAGGAAGTCTGGGAAATCGGCGGCGCACTGCTCGACGCTCACCCTGCCAGCGCGCTCCCTGCGAAACCTGTACTCGCCAGCGTCGCTAGAAGCGGCATCGCCGCTGCCCGGCGGCGGCCCCAGCACGCTCAGCCCCAGCAGCACCTGCGGCAGCGCCGCAAGAAACGCGGGGCCGAACCGCATGGGCGCGGAGCCGGGTCTGGTACGGTAGATGGATGGTGCTGCGCCGTCTTCGTCCGAACTGGCCGCACCTTGAGCCCAATGTGGCTTGAACCCAAAATTTGACAGAAGCTGAGCACGGAGGAGGAGGAGGAGGAAGAGCAAGAGGAACAACACAACAACGAATTATAGGACCTGGCTGCATAATCGATGCCTGCGGATAGTCCAGTGGACAACCCGTCAAAGTCTGGACACTTCCACAGACCTCGCTCACTGGACAACCTTCCTGAACTTTATCTACTGTAAGGAAAAGCAGAACCGCATCAATCGGGCCAGAAAGCAAGCGGAGGGATGTGACTGCGACGATGATGTAATGGGGCATCGCTGGGACGCCCATGCTGCATGTCTGCACCGCCGTATCAAATCTTTGAAATTTGATCGACATGGATACGTGATCTACGATGGGCGGGGACCGCCCACGCAGACAAATCTTCGTATTCCCCCTTCTCTGCCGATCCATATCCCTGCTAACCTTCGCGCTCTGGCTCACTTGCATTCGCCTCATACTCTACGTCCTCCGCGTTGTCGTCCTCCTTCCGAGGTTCGCGCAAAGATGGCCAGAGGCAGACCTGAGCGAAAAAGCCAGACTGGCCCCAGACCCCAAGCGGTCGAGCGCGGGATCCCTGCTTGCCTTCAGCAGAGCACGAGAGCAGCGTGGAGAGGTTGCTGAGCGCCACCACGTTGCCGGCCTCCCGGGGAAGCAGGAGCGACGAAGTGGTGGCAAATCCACAGGGTGAGGGAGAGGGAAAGAGATCAAGGTGTGTGCGTGCGCGCGAGTGTGTATGGCCCCTTCGGTCTACCCTGCGCACATGTTGCCACTGGAAATTCTAGTCCGTCTTGCATTGGACAGACTGGTCGTGTGTCTCTTCAAGCCTCATTTTGCGTACAATCGCTTTGGACGCAGTCACCGGAATCGTGGACAGGGGTGGCCACATCCTTTCGCTGAGGAGATTCTGACTTGACCAGTCCGTATTCCATCCCTGGGCACCTGCACGGTCCAGGGGTAGCGAGGAAGGGATCGACGACGGAGGGCAGCGGAACGCGAGCAGGGGGAGGAGGGGGGAGGAATAAACAGAGGGCGTGGAGCAGGGTGAGGAGGGGGAGGGAGGAGCAGGGAGGACGGGGGGGGAGGGGAAAGGAGATTACAGTCAATCGGAGAAGAATGCGAAGCGGGACGCTGCTCTGGGCGTACCCAGTCCCTGAAGAGGACAACTCTCCTTCACACTCCTCCTCCCCATTCCCCCACCCCCTGATTCTCTCCCTCCTCCTCCTTCTCCTCCTCCTCCTCCTCCTCCTCCTCCTCCTCCACTCCTTCTCCTTATAGATAACTCCTCCCTGTCGCACCCCGAACAAGTTTTTAGGGCGGGCCGGGCGTTTCGCCGGAGACTTCCGCACCATGTATGACTCTGAAGCTGGAAAAGTGGCAACAGTTTCACAGATGGAGCGCGTGTCCTTTTCAAACTGTGGCTCTCGCCTCAGCGCCGCGCACATTCGTTGTAAACATTGCAAAAACTTCACGGATTGAGGGGCGGGTCGTTTTCAACATGTGGCTCTGGCCTCAGCGCCGCGCACATTCGTCTTAACAAATTACAAGAGCTTCGCGGATTGAGGACGGCTCCTTTTCAAAATGTGGCCCTCGCCTTATAGCACCACGCACATTCGTTTTCAACATTTGCAAGAGCTTCACGGATTGAGGGCGGCTCCTTTTCAAAATGTAGCTCTCGCCTTAGCGCCGCGCGCATTCTTAAAAACACTGTGGAATAGTTTCACGGGTTCAGGGCGGCTCCTTTTCAAAATGTGGCTCTCGCCGTAGCGCCGCGCACATTCGTTTTCAACATTTGCAAGAGCTTCACGGATTGAGGGCGGGTGGTTCTCAACATTTGGCTCTCGCCTTAGCGCCGCGCACATTCTTCTCAAATGCATGCAAGAATTATTCGGATTGAGGGCGGTTCCTTTTCAACATGTGGCCTTCGCCTTAGCGCCGCGCACATTCGTTCTCAACACTTCCAAGAGCTTCACGGATTCCCATGATCAGCGTAACAGAAATTGTGATTTAGAAGGATTCTGGACTATGCGGGTGCAACAGTTATGTTGATTCGCTGTGTTGAAGTCCCAAACATGGCGTTCTGGCACGGTTCTGCATCGTCAAGGCGCAGCAGTCAGGTTGATACGAGGCTTTGGAATCCCGAAAACAATGTTTTGGCACGCTTCAGGACCTTCAAACTGTTGTCTTCCAGCGAAGCAGCTCCCTCAATGGAAATGAACCGTTGTAGGGGTCTGTGGAGAAGGAGCTTGGAGAGAGGGCTAATTCCAACATCGTTGATGACTCTTGGGTTTCCACTGGTCCTCCTCCTCCTCCTCCTCCTCCTCCTCCTCCTCCTCCGCCTCGTGTGACTTCGTCCGCTTCGCTGGCGGCCTCGTGCGCAGGCGAGCCGCCAGCGACTCCCAGGATATCTTGGAGGAGTCCTGGGAGTTGATATGCCTGGGAGATCTCACGTACGCGCTGTACGAGCGCGGGACACAGTGCAGGCTCCACGATCCCGAGCCTGGTGACGATGGCTCGAACATGGACCTCCCTCCTCCTCCTCGGCAAGCGATCCGTCGGACCATGTCGCACGGTGAGTTCGCCACTACTGTTTTTCTGCGGGTGCTCCTCTAGCTCCTCCGCCGCCCTTCGGCGTCCTTGTGCAATTCACCTTGAAATTTCTTGGTTGCCTCGCCGCCAGGCGTGCGCCCTGGCTCTGCTATGCCGCCGCTCGAGCCCGTGGCCTGGCACGCCGTGCGTCTCCACGACTGCTGGTCGTGCGCGCCGCCTGGCTTCTCTCTTTGTTGTCGCGTTGCGCGTACTCGTATTTTCCATTCGTCTCACATTTTCCCGTATCCTTGCTCGGCGCACTCGTTTCATGTGGTGGTGCCCTCCTCCTCCTCCTCCTCCTGCTCATCTCCCTCGCATCTCTTCCCTCCCTTTCCATTCCTCCTCCTGACCTTCCCCTTCCCTTGCCCTCACCAACCCCTTTCGCCCTCCCCCTCTTCCTCCCCTCTCCACTCTCCTCCTCCCTCTCCCCTCCTCCCTCTGCTCCTCCTCCTTCCCCTTCCTTCCCCTCCACTCTCCTCCTGCTACTCGGCCTTCGTCTCATCCTCCTCCGAATCGAAAACGACAGCGAGGACGACGACGAAGAAGACGAAGGCGACGACAAAGACGACGACTGGCACGAAGACGACGGCAACGAAGACGACGAAGACAACGATGACGACGACGACGCCGGCGACGACGGCGACGACGAAGATGGCGACGACGACGACGACGCCCTGCGCGGGCCGCCTCGAGCCAGCCCGCGTCCTCGGCGCCGTCCTCCTGCCCCCAGTCGCCGGCGCCCAGAACCCCCGCCGGGCCAGGGGGCCTCCGGCCCCGGGTGGGGGGGGGATATTGCTCGCTCTTCCTCCTCCTGATTTCCTGTCTTCCTGTCGGCATTGGTGTTCTCCGAACGCTGCCGCTTCCTCCTCCTCGTCCTGCTCCTTGTTCTTCTCCTCCTCGTCCTGCTCCTCCCTCTCATCATGTGTTTATGGGATCCTCCCTTTTCCACCTCCTCCTCCTCGGGAGGAGGGGGAGGAGGGGGATGGGGTAAGGGTGACAGAAAATAACGGCACTGAGCGACCCTGGCGCTAACTTCATTCCACGCTCAGTTGGCAATCAGGGATCGGAGGATCGGCGGCAATGATGCTCCTTCCTGTGCGCGACGGCAATCATGATCATATTTCGCTTGTTCAACAAGACCGTGGCGACGGCGACGGCAAGGGCGGCGGCCACGACGACGAAGATGCCCGCGGCGACAACGGCGGTAACGGCGGCGGCGGCGACGGAGGCGACGACGACGGCGAAGGATCCGACGGCAACGTCTGCGGTTACGACGACGACGACGGCGAAGGCGGCGGAAACGGCGACGGAACTGGCGAAGGCGACAGCGGCGACGGCGACGACCACGGCGGCGACGACGGTGAGGGCAACGGTGGCGAGAGCGGCGACGGCGGCGACACGCCCAGGATTTCTGCTCGAGCTGCTAGAGCGCTCTCGCTCGGACAGAACGCAGTGATCGCACGCCGTGGGCTGCTGGAACGCGCTTCCCCGGTAAACACGCAACGCTAGAACGACTCCCTCCGCGTTGTCGGCATAGGCAACCAAAGCGCCCTCGCCCGATAGAAATGGGGGCGACAACCAATTTAGGACTTTCTCCGCCACCGTTCCGGTAGGCACGACGTGGAATGTCCTCAAGGCCTTCAGACTCTGCCCTGAAAATTGGTAAGTTACCCTTGAAGGGCCCCCCAGCCCGGAATTCTGGGCGCTCCTAGGCGCTCCTGGGCGGTCTTGGGCCTTGTCGTCTCTTTAGGCCGAAGGGCCCCAAGACGGGCCCAACGAGAGGCCCAAGAGGGGAAACACGAACTGGCATGTCGAGCCTTCCGCTCCAGGATGGCCCCTGATACCGCCAGCAGGCCCCGAAGAGGTCCCCTGAGAAACCCCAGGAAGCCTATGAGGTCTCACGAAAAAACCTAAGAGGCCGCCAAGAGGTCCCCAAGAATCCCCAAGCCACCCCAAAACTGCCTCACACATGCTTCCGAGAAGCCTCCCCAGAGTTCCCAGGAGGCCTCTGATCCACAACCTGGGCACGGAGGCGGGATGAAACGAAAACCACCAAATGCGCCGCCCCCTGTTGCCTGCAAGAGAGGGTCTTGCCGTGCTGGATGTGACCGTTTGAATCCTTCCAAAAGGATCCCAAAAAGGTCTCGGCGCATCCCGCAGGCCACCTGTGCCAACTGCAAACTGGGTATCCCAACGGCTTTCCCGCTTATGATGGCCTCCAAGATGGTCCAAGATGGCATCCAAAACGCCCACGACGGCCCCAAGGGAGCCCAAGATGGCCACACAACGCCTCCAAGACGGCCCAAAATGGACCCGACAAGGCCCAAGATGTCTTCAAGACGGCACAAGAGGCCCCCCGATACGGCCCACGAGGGCTTCAAGAGGCCCTCGAAGAGGGCCTCGAGCGACCCCGATCATTCCCCAAACAGTGCTTGCAGTTCGGGGTTCTTACGTGTGCTCTACGTCTGGCCGGCGCGTCGCCGTCGCCGCCGCTGGGCCCCAGTGGCGGTCCGGCCGGCTCGTCGCCGCCCGTCGCCGCGTTGCTGTGCATTGCGTTGCATTGCTATGCATTGCTGCGCATTGCGCCGCATTGCTTTGCATTGCTTCGCATAGCTTTGCATAGCTTTGCATTGCTTTGCATGGCTTTGTACCGCTTTGACTGCACTACATTGCTTTGTCACTGCTCTCATTGCGTTACTTTGCATTTCTGTGTGTTGTTTTGAATTGCTTTGTACTGCTCTGCACTGCTTTGCGTTGCTAGTCCTCGCTTTGCATTGCACAACACTTCTTGGCATTGCGTTGCATTGCTTCGCACCACACAAATCGCACCGCATGGACTGCACCACCTAGATTGGATCACATTGATTGCAACAACTAGATCACGTCGCATAGATGGCAACAAATTACTGTTTGGGTTCCGCGCTGGCTACCATTGATGTTCCGTTGGTTTTCAAATGATTTTCGCGTTCTCGCCAGTTCGGGCTTCCGACGGCCCCAGATGCCTGCAAGATCACCCCAGGTCAGACCAAGAGGGTCCCAAGACATGCCAGGGGGCCCCCACGACGGCCCCACAGACCTCCAAGACTGACCGAAAGCGTCCCAAGAGGGCCCCAAGACGACGCACTGAGACCCCCTAAGATGGCCTCCGAAGACACAGCGGCTCTGTATAGGCCCCCAAGAGGCCTAAAGAGGACCGAAAGCAGCCCCATGAGGTCCCCAGAGCACTCCAGGAAGCCCTCAAGAGGCCCCACGAAGCCTCCTTCTACTCCTCCCCCTCCTCCCCCTCCTCCGCCTTCCTCCTCCTGTACAACTTCCGTCTCTTCCTCCTCCCACTCATCCTCTGTCTCAATCTCTCTCTCTCTCTCTTTCTCTCTCTGTCTCTCTCATTGCCTTCCTCTCCAAACGGCCTGGGGAATCCGTTGCCCGGTAGCTTGGCAATACTTCGGCCCAACGTTTGGCCACATAGGCGCTCCCACGAGAAAGGGGGCGGCGGTGGTTCGCCTTAAGCGTCTTCGATCAATTACCACGCGTATATATATAATATATATATATATATATATATATATATATATATATATGAATAAGTGGGGGATCGGGTAGCAGGGCGCGGCGGCTAGGAGGCGCTAGCACTGTACGCATGCCTCGTTCTCAAACCTGCTACGGACGCTTCGAAGATTAGTCGTGGACCTCGTTCGAAATATACTCCGATACATACACACGCGTTTGAAACTGCCGCTGTCAACGGTGCTCCACTGACAGGCCAGTCAGTGGAACATTCTGCTAGTGAGGATCTCTGGCCAAACCGCGGCGACGGCACCACCCGGGGCGGCTGTATGGCGACCCAAACCCCCGACTTTGGGGAGCTTTCGGCTGGACCAATAACTCTGGGCCCAACTCTGGGATGTACGATGGGGGGGCGTCCATCCTCGATGCAGGTGCGTCCGAAGAGCCCCCTGAAGGTGCATCCCCGACTCTTCCCTCTTTTCTGAGCGACCCGACTTTTCGGGGGCAGCTCGAGGACTGGGGGCGAAAGATCGCCTGCAATCAGGAGCCTCGGGACGGCATAGCATCGGCAGGACAGCGAGGACGAGCTCGACGACGACGACGTCGAGCGGAGTGGAGCCGCGAGCCCGGCGTGTTCCTTGGCCGCCTGCACCACTGCGGCGTCGCCGGCGGGGTTGCTGTCCTGACCGGCCCGCCGACGGGAGCGAATACACAACGATGGGAACAGGTGAGGAGCGACAGTGGCCAGCAAGGAAAGGGCGGGCAAGGGAAGAAAGACGACCCAAGAGGAGCAGGGCGAGAAACAACAACAATGGAGAAGAGACAATCCGATGCCCTTCAAGAGGGCTATCCCGGCACCGGACAGAACACTATGAGAAGAACAAATTAGGAGAGAAAGGAGAAAGACATCGACGGACGACTGGAGGAAAGGGTATTGAGCAGGGGGTGAGATCAAGAACGGTGCACGAATGTGTAAGGATGAAGATCGATGATAATGAGGATGAGGCTGCTGAATTCCATGATGAGCGCAATCTATCTATTGAGCAGAAAGATGAATAAGAGAAGTTCGGTCGAGGAGGAAAATATCGATGATAATATCGATGCGAGGTGATCGAGCAAGAGGAGAAGGGAGAGAGAGGCGAGGAGGGGGAAACCGAGCAGACGTAGGAGGAGACCGAGCAGAAGGACTGAGTTGGAGGAGACCGAGGGTGAGCATGGCTTCGACGTGCATCACGTGACACAGCCACCAGTGTCAGCGTCAAGAGACCGAGGTTGAGGTGATCGAGGGGAAGGAGAACATCGATGATTAGCGTTACCGGGGATGATACCACTCGTCATGGAAATATGGACGAGGACGGGCGATTTCGAAGATATAAATTGGATGGGAAGGATCTCCGGGAACCCCATAACACGAGGATCCATACTGAGGATGTGAGGGAGGCAGCGGGGCTCGAGAAGTTCCCTGCACAACTGGTCTGTCAAATCTCACCAACAACTAATGGTGGGTTGTCGGATCCGGGATCGGGTTTGGCGACGTGGCCTCCTGCGGCTTCCCGGACGCGGAATCTCTGCTTCTGTCCCTATCCCAATCCCCCCATCGTGGCCCCCCAGCGTCACTGTGTAAAGTTGTTTAGGGCCTTCTGCCGCAAGGGCATCGTATGTACTGTGCAGCGTTGGGCCGGGCTGTTTCCAAATATAGCAAAAGGATTCTGTGGAGGAGGGATGGAGGGGAGGAGGGAGCGGGAGGGTGCGGGGGACGAGGAAGACGAGAAACATGGAAAGGATGGCGGCGATGACGGAAAGAGGAGAAGGGGGATAGGGACGAAAAGAAGGGGAGGCGGGACAGCAGGAGACAGAAATGATGACGACGATGGCGCCGCCGTCGTCGCGTCGTCGTGCCGTTGGTGTTTTCCCGTCGCCGCCGACGTCCTCTCCTGGCTGGCCATCCTGCTTCTTAGCGGTCTCCTCCTCACCCTCCTGAGAGGCTGTTTTTCTTCAGACCCTGGCGAATTCACTTGCGTGAAAAAGGGGGGGAAGGGGGGCGAGGCCCGAAAGGAAATCTGGTCTACACGCACATCGGGACTCACTTGCACGACTTTTCGGCCCAGCACTGTTTGAAAACGCGGCGGGGGGCGGGGGGGAACGCCACGCAAGTAAGCTTGCCAGCGATAGAACAACAATCCCAAACGCATTCTTATTCTCTACTTCTCCGCTCGCGGGGCGTTGCGCCGCCTGGGGGGTGCGAGGCCGTCGGCGGACGGGTCACCCAGGCTGGATCCTGGAGTTAGACTGCTGGTCCAAACTAGACTATGATTTTGAAAGGGTTGGATATTCTTCGGCGGCAGGTCATGGGAGCCTCCCATACCATCTTGCTGGTTCTTGCGAATCGATGCGAACAGACGCTGATCGACGCTAAACCGGCGCGTTCTCGTCGACTACCACATACTAGTGCGCTGGTGCACTCTAGCCTCCGACTTGCGAGGACACGCGCGACTCCCATGATTAGCTTCCGATTGATATTGGAGTCTCGATACCGCTCGGAATTGTTACGTTGACCAATTTTGCGCACGGCTCGTTGGAATGGGAGCAACTTGACAAGCCTCGCTTCGTCTCAAACCTGGTCTCGTCAAGCCTGCGGATATAAAAATAGATTTAGACCTGGATCGGACTCCGCACGTGCGATCAGTCAACCGCTGTACCTCTAAAGCGGCGGTGGTACTTTTGAACTTAACCTTGCAAACCAGGTGAACAAACATATGTCTAACCCATGCTTTTAACCGTCGGCAAACATCGTATAGTAACCGTGAGGATCTCGTGACGAACCCTGACTCGACACGCCTGCACAATCTAAGCGTCAACTGAGCCATTCCATTCACTTCGGGTGAATTCGCTGTACACATGTGAACACGAAGCCGACGTGCCTTGTGGTGCTACTAGGGCACACATGTGTAGGTACATTTGTCTACATACATATATATATGTATAATCATAGGTAGATGCGTGTTTCTAAAAAGCAGGAACCGGAACAGGAGCCGGCGCAAGGCTCCGCGAGGGAGCTGCCGGGGATGCCGAGGTCCGCTCACGTCTTGCCGAACTCGTCCTGCACGCGGTTGAATTCCTCTGACTTTGTCACACGTGCCCAACTGTCGCAACCAACGGTTGTCAGCACATGATGTTTGACATCATCCATCCATCGAGTCTTGGGCCGCCCTGGGCGTCGCTGGGTCGAAGTATGCAACTCAACGTGTGGAGCCCAACTAATAACTTGCACCAGCCATTCTGATGTATCCATAAAAACAATTTGTTGTGCCCATGTCCACTTTTTCTGCTTGTGAACAGTGGCCGATTCGCTCAAATTATATTCACGAGTTCGTCGTAACGCTTCGTGGGTGGCACGTTTGATCTAGTCCGGCCAAGATTCCAGTAGGGCGTCGGCGTCGATGTCGTCGGTGGTCGGCTGGATGTTGGGGTTGGAGACGGCGTGAGCGCCATGGTCGAGACCTTGATAGGCGTCTGGGGGCGCACTGGGCGACATTGGTCGTCTCGGCACTCGCACGATCATACCGAACATCTGGCGCTGAACCTTGTTCAATGTGTTTTGCATGTCTGTTGTGAGTGTCCACCTTTCGCTGCCATGCAACGCAATAGGTGTAACCGTACCAATGATGAGCCGGAGCCGGTCGCGTAAAGAATACGTTCTATCGGTTCGTTCCTGTTTCAGCGTATATAATTTCTTCCACGCAGTGGCAATTATGATGTAACATTCGGCTTTGTGCTGCCCAGAAAACTGTATCCGTGTGCCCAAATGTTCAATGAAGCGGTAAGGAGGTATCACTTCGGTTGCCATTCGCGTGTTCGTGTGCTGGTGGTCGTCCCCTGCGAGCAAGTCCGTGGCCATTGTGTAGAACCTTCGTCTTGTTGGGGTGCAAATGTAAGCCGACGTGTGACGTTTTCTTGCTGAGGACAGCATGTTCGTGATGTGACCAAAAGATGAATATATCCGCAGTATGTCCTCAGCGAAGCGTAGGTTTCTGAATCTTACCCTAGCCTGGTGCCCAAGTCGGAAACCGATCCGTTGTTCATCCCAATGGGACGTCCGTGGTCGCATCAATTGTTCTGTGACGCTGTTGAAAAGGAGAAAGCTGAGAGGGTCCCCCTGTGTAGCGCCTCGCTCGATGGAGAAAGGCTTGCTCGTGCGATCGGTGCGGATTGGGGCTCTTTCCAAAAGGCGTATGTACGGTCGTTGGACACCTTACTCCGCTAATGCCACCCAGATGCTCTCGTGTGTGACACTATCACATGAATTTTTCCCAACCATCCTGTGGTGCTGGGTCCTCGTTTTGAAGAGACAGTCCCCGCGTGTTCCTTCTCTCCTCCTCTTCCCCCTCCTCCTCCACCGTCCGCATGCGTCCGCACTCCCAGTACAGCGTTTCGTGGCCCTCCTCCCCCTCCTCCCTGCGTTTCACCCACCCAGTACAGCGTTTCGTGGCCCCATAGGCAACCCCACCGAAGGTCCCAGTGCTACCGTCCGCATGCGTCCCGCACACCCAGCACAGCGTTTCGTGGCCCCATAAGGAGCCCCACCGAAGGTCCCAGTGCTACCGTCCGCATGCGTCCCGCACACCCAGTACAGCGTGTCGTGGCCCCATAGGGAGCTCCACCGAAGGTCCCAAGGCTACTGTCCGCATGCGTCCCGCACACCCAGTACAGCGTTTCGTGGCCTTCCTCCCCCTCCTCCCTGCGTTTCACCCACCCAATACAGCGCTTCGTGGCACCATGAGGAGCCCCACCGAAGGTCCCATTGCTACCGTCCGTATGCGTCCCGCACGCCCAGTACAGCGTTTCGGACACCCAGTACAGCGGTTCGTGGCCCCATAAGGAGCTCCACCGAAGGCCCCAGTGCCCCCGTCCGCATGCGCCCCGGAAGCCCAATTTGGCATTTCCACCCACCCAGTGCAGCGGTTCGTGGCCCCATAGGGGGCTCCACCCAAGGCTCCAATGCCACCGTCCGTATGCGTTCGGGAAATGCAATTTGGCATTTTCACCCGCGCAGTGCAGCGTTTCGTGGCCCCATAAAGGGGGCTCCACCGAAGCCCCCAGCGGGACCGTCCGCATGCGTCCCGGAAGCCCAATTTGGCATTTTCACTCACTCAGTAGAGCGCTTCGTGGCCCCATAGGGAGCTCCACCGAAGCCCTCAGTGGGACCGTCCGCATGCGTCCTGGAAACCTAATTCGGCGCACCACCCACACAGTACAGCGTTCCCCCCGCCCAGTGTAGCGCTTCGTGGCCCCATAGGGAGCTTCACCGAAGCAGATATTCACAATTACGGTACCCACGACTGCATATGGTTGGGACCTTCGCCAGGATAATTTGAAGTCGACCGTCGCCACCCACAGAGGTACCAGGTTACCTGCTACTCGTCCGCCGTTTCTTGCAAAATAGATCATGTGAACAAATGGTCGGCGGTGTTTCGCCCTGGGCGGAAGCCGGTTTGGTCGGCGCTTTGGTGTGAGCCGAATGCTTCGTGTAGCCTGTTTTACATGAGTCGCGAAAACAACTTGTATACTAACGGAATCGTGGCAATGGGTCGGTCATGTTCCGGCAATCGTGGGTCAATTTTTGAACAGAGCCTTACTGTCTGTGTGTTTCTATACGGGCATTAACCACCATGGGCCCAACACCGTGTTGTTCTACCACTATATGGTGCGCAACTTATGTGGAGAAATGCATGCTGTGGAATACGGGTGGCGCAAGTTAAGTTGTTCAGCTTAGGCTGGGTAAAATATGTTGTGTCTTGTACATGGTGCTATCTACGTGGCGCAACATATATGGTGCAACCGACGCGCTGCGCAATTTGTGCGGTGCAATCAGCGAGGTACAATCTAACTGACACCATATTCACGTGGTGCAGTCTATGTGGTGCAATTCACTTGCCGAACTTGAAATTGACAACTCCACTGCTCACGCAATCATCCACCCAGCCACCCGCAACTTGGTTTACAAAATCTCTTAAGACCGTGACGGTGGGTACTTACGATATGGCACTTGGCAACGACAGCGACGCCGACGACGACAGCGACAACGACGACGACGACGCCGCCGACAACGACCACGACGACACCGACGACGCGACAACGACGACAACGACGACGACGACACCGACGACGACGCCAACGCCGACGCCGACGCCGATGACGACGACGATGACAACGACGGCGATGACGATGCCGACGACGACGACAACGACGACAGCGACGACGACGACGACGACGACGACGTCAACGACGCAGACGACGACGACGACGGCGACGACGACGACGCCGACGTCGATGACGACGAAGACGACGACGACGACGCCGACGCCGACGACGACGACGAGGGAGGAGGGAGGACGACGACGGCGACAACGACGACAACGACGAGGGAGGAGGGAGGACGGCGACGACGCGAACGACGAAGAAGGAGGAAGGACGGCGACGCCGACGACGACAACGACGAGGGAGGGGGGAAGACGACGACGACGACGACGACGACGACGACGGCGACGAAATAGGAGGGACGACGACGAGACGCCGACGACGGACGACGTCGACGACGAGGGAGGCGGAGGAAGGACGACCACGGCGACAACGACGACGGAAATGACCACGACGCCAAAGAGGACGACGACGAACACGAGGAACGGCAGAGGACGACGTAGGCGACGACGACGACGACGACGCGGGAGGAAGGATGACGGCGACGACGACGACGACGACGCAAGAACGCGCGCGCACGCGTTTGTTGAACATCCGTGTTGCGAAACCTTATGTTTTTGTATGTTTTTTGGACACACGATTTTGAAGTCCTTCCGAAACCGATGGATTTTGAAGGATTTCGGCATACGCGCGCGACGACGCGCGCGTCTGCACTTCGTCCCATTTTTTGCAGAGGATTCCCGCGACGGCACACGCGCAAGGGCGTTCGACAAATTTCGACATGCGCGCGCGCGAAGCCCGTTTGGTAGCATGTTGTGAAAATATTGAAAAACCTATGGTTTTCTGAAAAGATTTCGCAAGAGTTCGCGCGTAAGCTTTTAAAGCAAGTCCGTGTTGCGACCCCCCTGTGTTTTCGTATGTTTATTGGAATCTCGATGGCGAAATCCTTCCGACACCGAAGGTTTTTGGATAATTTCGGCATGCGCGCGCGACGACGCGCGCGTGTGCACTGCGTCTCTGGTTTTGCAAGGGGGTCGTGAAAAAATGATATGTTAGAACAACAAATGTCCCCGCGTACTCCAGATTTCGTAATAAAAGGGAGGGGTCACAATCCTCCCAGACCACAAGTTTTAGACCCCCCCAGACCATCCATGAAAGGGCGGCCCTTTGCCCAGACCCCCCCGAACCCTCCAAGACAGCTCAAATCAGATCCCCCCCAAATGTGACCCCCCCTACGTTATTATGGAATCCGGAGTTTTTTTTTTTACGAAGGAATCTCAAGGGTAGCGATCCCGGCCCCCCTGGGAAAGTGTAAAATCATATCTAAGATGGACATGTGGTCATAATCATAAATGATTTACATACCCAAGAGGGGGGCGGATAACGCGGGGGGGGGGGTAGAGTCTATTCTCTTTTTAGAAAGAGAATCAGCGTGGTACAATCTACGTGGCGCAATTTACTGTTTCAATCTGCGTGGTGCAGCTGATGTTTGTTCGCGATGCGATGTCAAACCCGCCGCGCGATCACCCCACCCACACACCCGCAAGTTGGTTTGCAAAGCCCATGCGGCAGCGATTGCGATGACAGCTTGGCGTTGGTAGGCGCTTCGCTGCGGCAGCGCTGGCGCGCACAGGCTCGCACGCAGAACTGCCAGACAGCCTGGTGAAACCGACGCGGCCGCGGTGGCGTAGACCAATGGGAGTTCCTCGGCGTCTCTCGCAGGCCGCGCTGGCGCGCGGGCATTTGAATGCGAGTCGGTGATTCGGGGGGGCGCGGCACCATGGCAACGTCGACGGACGTACGCACGATGGAGGTAGTAGCGATGGTGGTAGCGATGACGATGATGATGATGGTGCTGATGCTGATGCTGATGATGATGATGATGATTTCGACGGCGATGACGACGATGCTGATGATAGCTTCGACGGCGATGGCAAAGATTTCGACATGCCCGCACAGCCGACCGGCGCGAGGGCCCGCATGTGGATATGTTTAGTTTACAAGGATCGTGCCCCCCCCGGCACGTGCGCACGGGCGCGTGACTGTTCTCTTGAGAATTCGCGTGAACGCGAGCAGTTTTTATATATATATATATATATATATATATATATATATATATATGGGGCTTCCTCTTTTTGGGCGTCGCGCCGCCACAGGTTCAAAGTGCACGAGGCTCAAGCACACTCGAGGAGAAACGGCCACTGGGACCTGGCAGGGGCCCATACACGGCGAGCACCAGCACCCTCCAGCAGGTCAGCGAGCTAGCCAGCGAGCTTGGCTCGCCGGCCGCACTGACCCCTAGAGGGTAAGGCAGCCCGCCGAGTACAATTGGCCCCGCAAACACCAAGAAACACAGTTTAACGTGTTAAACCCCCCGGGGCCACCCCTCGAGAGCCTGACCTAAAAGGTGGCAGAATTGGGGATGGACGGAGGGCCGCTTGAGCCGTACACCTACGGAACGATCGAGCGAAGGAGTGTTCACCCTGAGCTCTCCCGAGGCCCGTCGGGCGAACACTATATATCACCTGCTCGCTCGACGGCGGCGCTTTGCCTAAGAGGTCCAAACATACGCCCAACCCCGAGGGTGTTACGTTACATGTTTGGGGCTTCCTCTTTTTGGGCGTCGCGCCGCCACAGGTTCAAAGTGCACGAGGCTCAAGCACACTCGAGGAGAAACGGCCGCCGGGACCTGGCAGGGGCCCATGCACGGCGAGCACCAGCACCCTCCAGCAGGTCAGCGAGCTAGCCAGCGAGCTTGGCTCGCCGGCCGCACTGACCCCTACAGGGTAAGGCAGCCCGCCGAGTACAATTGGCCCCGCAAACACCAAGAAACACAGTTTAACGTGTTAAACCCCCGGGGCCACCCCTCGAGAGCCTTCCACGTCCCCCTATTGTGGCTCTGCCGACCTATTTTAAACTGATGCCATCGGGTAAGGTACCACTGGATCGAATTTACAATTCAAGTCTTACAACCTCAGCTGTCTTAAAATATATTTCCAGCGGAGAGCGGCAGCTCGAATTCTATCCTTGGTGCTAGGCAGAAGGGTGAGAGCGACGGTATCAGCAACTGCCTGAGACAAGTACATTCTGGCTACTTTCGCGCCGTCCCACCGGCCCTGTTGAAGAGCATACTCCATATTTCTATGGCGGGTGAAGTGGGCGGTCGCACCTCCTCTGCGGAGGCTGTACATTGTGAACCCTCGGTCCTGAAGGTCGAACATCTGAAGCAACCAGGACAACTGCTTTCGAACTTCAGGCGCCGTCGCTCCACGCAGCAGATCTTCCGACCCCAGCTGCATGCATCTGTATTTAGGGTAGGATCTTTCGAGACACTCCGTCTTTGAGAGAAACCACTTCTGAAAAGCCAGTTCGCAGTCCCACCTTTGAGGCCTCGATGTGAATAACTGCCCGCTCACCTTTGACAAGGATGCGCCGCCGTCTGAGAGCCAGCAGCTCGCCTGTGCGCATGAAAATGTCGAAACCGACGAGCATCGCGGTCGCCAGACCTTCCCAGCCGAGGCCCCACGCTGCAGCTGCCAAGCCTAGGACCATGTCGGCCGTGAACGGCGTCGCCCGACAAGGCGTGCACTGCCTCTCCCACGCTCGCACCAGGCTCCAACTCTGCTGCAGGTTGCCCTTCAAGGAGGGCATCATCCACTGCAAAGCCGCTGTCGCATTGACCACCAGGTACAGCGGCTCCAGCTCTGCCCAACACGCTTCTATGTACAAGCTGAGGTTTTTGTCCACGTCGTTGAGCGAGGACAGCTTCACACTGTGCGCCTTCCACCACACAAAGAGGCGACCGGCACATCGAACATGCCGATCACGCGTGGCTTTAGTGACCTGTAGGTCGCGCAACCGCGCGCCTCGCTTACTGACTTGAGAACGCACATGCAACCAGCTGCGACGCCTGCCGCCGCGAGCTGTCACTTGGACCCTTTTCGGCGCCATTTCTTAATCAAGAACTCTCTGGACGGCCGATCACTTGGGTTGAGCTTGGCATTGATATACCCAACGCCCACGTACAAGTCTGAGCTGACGAGTATAGCAGTATAGCAGCGCACTGTCGAGCGAGTCCCCGAAGCTTCCCCGATGACGTGCGGTCGCGGGTCAGCATCGAGGCCACAACTTGGGAATCGACAAGGTGCAGAACCTTCGCGCTCCTGAACGAGGTAGTGCGAGTCCTGTGCCGCAAGGAAGCGTTCACCGCCTTCAACTCGAGCGCGTTGATATGCAGCTCCCTCGACGACTTCGGCCACGGGAAGGACAGCGTCGACCGCCAGCGCCACAGCGCCGGGTCAATCGAGGATCGCGGCCACGCCTTGGGGCGGAAAGGCGCGCCGAGGTCGAGGCGGATGTCACTCCCCGACTTCTCGGCAATCGTCCAGAAAATCTCGACCAGCTTGCGGCCGATGGAGGTTTCCTTGATGGGGTCCTTCGAGAACTCCACCGACTCGTCGAGTAAGTCCTTTACCTCCAAATCGCTCGTGACCCCCTCGAGGTCGGTCGCCCTGACGGGCCCGCCCAACTGGCACTTCAGACCGAGGAACAGCCAGCTAACGACGCAGCAGGCGAACGCGTTCCCCAAGAGGCTGCAGCGATCGTTCTCAACGCTGCCACGGCTGGAGCCCGAGCTGGCTACGGACGACGAGTAGTGGCGAGGGAATCCCATGAGCACTCCTTCTCCGTGGCACACAAAGGCCTCAAGTCCCCCTTGGAGTCCCGAATCATGTGAACTAGCTCGTACTGGTACGGAGGGTACGCGTGCAGGTCCTGGGTCCACCTCTGGATGGCCTCTGGGCTTGCTGCCGATAAACCTGCAGGCTTGTGCGGGGCAGTCTTCTTCCGCCGCTGGAGAAACGTGCAGACTGGGCCCTTGTCCGAAGCCCTGGAGCACCCTGAGGCAACCCAAGAGCTTGCAGGAGCCTTCGGGACCTGGAGCGCCCTGATGAGGTCGTAGTTGGCCTTGGGCTCCACGTGCGCCCCGGGGAGCTTGAGGGCCGCCTCTCTCCAAGACAACCAGTACAATCGTGGCCTTCTACTCTCGGTAAAGAGGGAGTTGCACACGCTGATGGGCCTAGTCTGGAGGATGCGGGAGAACTCCTGGAGGGATTCTGCGCTCATCGAGAGCACATTTCCCACAAGCCAATGGACAGGCACCTTCATGACGAGAGCAAGTGCGCTCACCACCTTGGGTATGCGCTTGAACAGGCCGCTCCGAGCGCCATGCGCGCCCTGCCGGTCGGCGTTCACACCGCTCGCGTCCTGGCAAGGGCTGCCTCCCGCAACGACCACGGCAACAATCCGATCCTGGAACATGGCCAGAGCCTCAAGCTGTCGGTCGTGAATTTCCTCGACTGGGCCCAGCTCGATCAGGCCAGGCCAGCGCGATCTCAGCACCCGGCGAGCCCCTTTATCGACCTCGCTGCACCAGCGCGCACCAGCGACACAGCAGCACCGCCGATGCCGTCAAACACGCTCACCAACAGGACGCGCGGCGGAGCCCCTGGGGCGATCCTGGTCGGCTCGATCGTGCACGAGCCGGTGTAGCTGGCAATGCGATGGCCCCAGGTCTCAGGGCCCCCGAGAGATGCCAGGAACTTCGCGGCCCCCTCTGCGCCCCACGGCCGTGCACATATCTGCACCGTCTTCGCTGGCGTCAGAGCACGAGACGATGCCCGCGGTAGCGGCCCTCAGGTTGGTGGAGGCGAGGGGCATCAGCGGGCAGCTGTGCATCAGCTCGTCCAGGCTGGCTCTGGTCAACACAGCACGGCCCGAGCCAATCTGCTCCCACACCGAGTTGAACACCCCGAAGAGAGGACGTCGAAACTCTAGCGCCCTCACCCAGCGTCCCATGAGAATCAGGAGCTGGTTCCCGAGGGGGTTCTCTCTCGTCGGGAACCACATGATAAGGCTGTACAGCTGCGCGTTCTTTATCCGATTGTTGGCGGCCCTGCCTGAGATCCCGTCCACCTCTACACCCATCCGCGTGACCAAGAGCTGCCTCTGGTTGGCTTTGTCCACGCTGATGGGGATTGCATTCCGCTGGTAGCTCTCCCTCATCTGGGCCTGCAGGCGGCCAGGAGCGCCCACCTTCGCGAGCGCCTCCTTGCATCCAGCCGTCTCGCAGTTATCGAAGTCGTCGATGTGCACACTCCACCACTCGCGAGGGCCCTCATGAGACAGGGGAGCAGCTGCAGCGGCGGGGATAGGACGGTCGCGCCGCCACTCCAGGTCAGCTGGGAGGGCGGCGCCAGCAGGGCGACCCAGAAGCGCAACCCGCCGGTGGACGCTCTGGAAAATGGGGGCGCTGTACACCCAGCCCATGGGCAGCGCCGTCATGGCCAGCCACACCTCCTTGGCCTTCACGCCAAGAACATGGCCGGGGATTGGGGTGCAAATCGCCATGTAGCCCAGCCACGGCGCAGGGGTGCGGTACATGAAGAAAGCTCCCTTCTGGTCGTCCCCACTCCAGAGCAGCACCTCCTCGGGGCCAAGGGAGATGCTTACCCACGCCGGCGAGGGTACCAGAGTCACTGAGCCCCCCGCCAACGGTCGAAGGTACGTATTGGTCGGGACCACGTTGAAAATCAATCGCGTCACCCTGGCCTCTCCCTCAGCTGGGGACCCCGACTTCGTCGCAGCAAACAAACCGTTCGTGACGCGACGGCCGCGGGCCACAAAGATGCGCTCAGCTGGTATAGGGGCCAGCAATCCACGCTCCACCAGCTTGGCAGCGATGGCCCACCAGTCCTCCAGCTTCTCGACGTTGACCTTTGCCTTCGGGGGCGACTCGGGCCACTCGGCCTCCGGCAAGAGCGACATCTCGGGTTTGGTGAGCACCTCCCCCACATAGTCCAGCACGTCCAAGCGGCCGATATCTTCGGCTTTGGGAAGGCCGGGCTCAAGCTCGCCGAACTTCAGAGGGAGCGCCCGACAGTCCTCCTCCAGGTCGTAGCTCGACTTCGTCTTCTTCATTTCCTGAGGCCAGAACGGGATGTCCACCGCCGCCAACGCGTCGCCCACGCGCCACTCGACCGTCTCACCGATCACACGTAGGCTGGCGGCCTGCACCTCAGAAAGGCGCCCGGCTGCTTCCCAGCGGCCCTTGCTCAGGTGGCCAAGGTAAAGGTAGTTCAGGCCCAGCGCGCTCAGGAAGGTCTACACCTCGACCGCCATGGCTTGGGCCTCCTTCTTGAGAGCAGCTGGCCACTTCGTAACATCCACGGGGGATCCCTCACCGTCCAACATTCCTCTACTCTTCAGATCACGTTCCCAGGCGATAAAGGTTGCCGGCTCCCTTACTGGCAGGGGCAGCACATCGCGCCCGACACCAGCCTCCGGCGATTGTGGCGCGACGCCCACGGGGGACCTTCTAGCGAAATCTCCAATGCAATTTGTTATTCTCCTAACACTGGCGAGGATCCCGAGGCCGATCTCCAGCATTGTCATTCGGCTTGGGCCGCTGCGGCACATGCGCGAGGCGATGTCCGCCTTCCACTGGCCCAGCGTCAGCGCGGCCACCTCGCTGCCGATAGCCGCGCCGCTCATCGCGTTCAATACTCCAGCGCGACCCGCCTCTGCGGCTCGCTCGGCTTCGCCGCTTTCTTGGCCGACACCCGGCGCTTGAAGAACTGCGACGCGATCCTCTTCTTCAACTGCCGCCTGGACTCCCCCTCGGCACGCGGAGTCTTCGCGCGCGCCGCCGCCCACGCTGACAGGGGCTTCCCGTCCACCGCCCGGGGGCCCAGGCGGTCTGTCAGCGCGGGCAGGCCGCCCCCCGACGGGGGAGCGGCGCGGCCCGCCTCCAGGGCAGGGGCACGACCCCTGGGCGGCTGCACTCCCAAGCGGCTGCGCAACTCTGCGGCGTCCGCGGCAGTGCCGATGTTGGTGATCGGCAACGCTCTGCTGTCCGGGCTTCCACCACGGCTCGGGCCTGCAGGGCAGTCGGCCAAGCTCTCGCCGCCGCCCCGGCCAGACCCCTAGCCGCGGCCCCCGAGGCGCCCGAGCAGCTGGGCAATGCGCACCTCGGCGGCCTCGATGCCCGTGACGAGCTTCTCGTCCTCAACTGAGAGGCTCAATCAACCATTGTCGGGGGGGATGAGCTCGAACCACTTCGCCGTCCTCGAATGGCCATCCCGTGTGGTCTTTGGGATAGCCTTGATCCTGCAGAAGATGAAATCCAGGGCGTGATTGGGCTTGCCCGAGACTATGAGGTCCGCACTCTCCGCGAGCGTCCGCAGCTCGCGGTACCGGCCCTCACCAATCTCACGAATGGGGTGCGCAGGCTTCAGCACCCGGAGCAAGAACTTGAGCGCCGCGGGGCTATGCTTGGTCACACCTCCAGCATCATCATGGTCCAGAAACTGCGCCATGTTCTCCATCTCCCTCTCCGAGAGGCGCCCTGGATGCTTCGCCGCTATCTTCTTGTACGCCAGGCGGCGGGCCGCCACGGGGCGCCCGCCAGGGACGCGATCATCATCACTGTCAAACAGGCCGTCGTCGTCGTCGCCCTTCCGACTCAGGTACTCGGCGAGCGTCTTCAGTACTGCCCGCTCGCCTGAGCCGCGAGCACGACCGCCATCTGCTGGACCAGCAGCGGCAGCGCTCGGCGCCTGTCCAGTCATCCTCGCCTGGACCACCTCGCCGAGTTTGGCCCTCTTGTTGGGTGCGGCGGTCGCGGCCCCGCCTGCAGCGGCCTCCGGGCCGCGCGCTGTCGCGAGCTTCTCCCGCAACTTATTGAGGCGCTCCAGGTAGCCGTCCCTCGCCGAGCCCTTCGCGCCTTCGGACTTGCCTGAAAGCGCTGCGAGCTCCCTGTCGAGCTCAGCAAAGGCCTCCGCGTCCGCCTCGTCGGCCTCCTCGTCGCCGTCGAGCTCCACCAGGTCGCCCCCAGCCTTGCCTACGCCGGCGGGGCGTTTCCTGGCCGGGCCAGCGATAGCGGCGCGACTCGGCGGCGGCTCCTCTTCCTCCTCAGCGGCCTCAGCCTCATCTAAGGCGGCCTGAGCGACATCAGCCGGCAGCTCGGGGCAATCCTCATCGTGCTGGAGCACTGCCATGTGCCGCGCGGCTGCCTGAGCGGCCGTGAGCCTCTGGGGCGCTCTGGTGTGGAGCACCTGGCACCCCGCCCGCGGTGCCGTGTAGCGACATCGCGAGACTGGCCCACGGCGCACGTAAGATCATCTTCTCTCGCTTCGCAATGCGTGAATTAAGCCACCATGACAGATATTGGTCACCAGCAGCAAAGTACTCCACCTCGTAGGCGGTGCCCCCTGGGTTGTCCGACATCACTCTGCGCACCACGCCAAAAACAGAGCCCGCGTCGGACCCGTCATCATGCAAGACAGGATGTCGGAAGCACTCGCCCGGCGTCAGCACTGTCGAGCGGTCGTCCGCCATCAGCAGCCGCTCGGACAAGCACTGGTCGGGCCCAGGGGGCGCGGAAAGGTGCACGGTCAGAGTGCCTGAAGCGCTCGAGCTCCAAACCGCAGGACCTGACCTGCGGCGCAACCGCTTGAGCCGTACACCTACGGAACGATCGAACGAAGGAGTGCTCACCCTGAGTTCTCCCGAGGCCCGTCGGGCGAACACTATATCACCTGCTCGCTCGACGACGGCGCTTTGCCTAAGAGGTCCAAACATACGCCCAACCCCGAGGGTGTTATGTTACATATCAAACATACGCCCAACCCCGAGGGTGTTATGTTACATATATATATATATATATATATATATATATATATATATATAACACGTTGTCAGATTTCTTAAGATAAGAAATTTGACAGTCGACGAACCAATCCGTGCGGAACCCACCAGTGTTTGACAGATTCCGGCATGCGCGCGAAACGACGCGCGTGTGTGAACTTCGTTCGAATTGTTGCAAAGGGGTCTTGGCCACTGATGAGTTGTTCATCAACCAATGTGCGCGCATCCTGTTTCTTTGTTTGCCAGGGATGAAAGGGGGTCAAACCCATTTTGGATTCCACTAGACGAATTCAAATTTGAAGAAATCGATTGGGCAGAATCGCAAGTAAACTCGACATCCCTAGCGGAGGGAAAATCCCAGAGTCCCGGGGAGGGAGACCCGAATTGTTTTTTGGACAGGAGATGTATCGAATGCTCACTAGTGACTTATCAAATCCACGTTCGCGCAAACATCCCATCCACCCACCCGCAGCCTAGTTTGCAAAGCCCATGCGGCGGCGATTGCGATAACTGTTTGGCGTTGGCTGGCGTATCGTTGCGGCAGCGCTGGCGTGTACAGGCTCGCGCGCAGAGCGGCCAACCAGTCTGGCGCGACCGACGCGGCCGCGTTGGCGTTGACCGCGGGGGCTTCGCAGCACGTCTCGCAGGCCACGCTGGCGCGCGGGCACTTGAATGCGAGTCGGTGACCGGGCCGGCCCGGTATCATGATGACGTCGCCGAAGACGGACACGATGATGATAGAAGCGGTGTAGGTGGCGATGGTGATGATGACGACGGCCAGGCCAATGACGTGCCGATGCTGGTCACGCCGATGACGATGATGATGTCCACGCGTCGGTGATCAGAGTCCTGTAAGGATTTCGACATGCGCGCGCGGCCGACGGGGATCGTGCCCCCCAACACGCGCGCAAGGGAGTTCGAATGAATTCGACATGCACGCGCGAGAGGCTCGCATGGCCTCACGTGGCGAACATGTTGAACACGTATGGCTCTCCCCGGGTATTCGCACGAGCGCGCGCATTTTAGGTTTGAATCAGCACGATGCAAAGCCACCGGTCTTTCATATGTTTTCGGAAACATGCGATTCTGAAAACCTTACGACATCTACGGTGTCTAAAAGGTGCCGGCATGCGCGCGCGACTCCGCGCGCGTGGATTGTGTCACATGTGTATGCCGAAAAAGGGGTCTGCAATGGTACGAACTGGTTTTTACATTTACAATTAACGATGGGGTAGAGCCGTACGTACATTGGACTACCCCATGAAGTACCCATAAACCCGCGGGAGGGTAGGTACATCCAAATTTGTTTTGGCAAAACGAGTCGGTGTTGCGCAAACTACGTGCTGCAATCGATGTTATGCGACCTATGCGGTGCAAATTGGTGGTGCGACCTTAATATACATATTTATTTATATATGTTGGTGTATATATATATATGTACCATGTATAGACGTACACACATACATACGTTCATACATCCATACATCCATATACCCATCCATCCCTCCATCCATCCATACATACATACACATACATGCACATACATGCCCACGCAAGCGCATACATACATACATACATACCTACCTACCTACCTACATACATACATGCATACACATATATATATATACACATACATACATGCATACATACATAAACAGATTGCCTTGACGATGTTTTTGCAATTTGGGGCCCTGCGAACCCCGCCCCTGAACGGGTACCCCAAATCCTTGGCAACGGGGGCCCCCCTGCACGCCCTTGCAGGAGGTTCCCCACGCTTTCTGGAACTCCAAGGGGCCCCTGCTGGGCCCAGGCCGCAAACCCAAATCGGCCATAAGGGCGGCCGAACAACCCCCTACGGCCCCACGAGGCCCCAAACACCCACCAGACGCCCGATGACGGCCCAAAGAACACCCCCAAGAAGTTTTCGGAATACGGAACAATTAGTTCCAATGGTTGCGGCATGATTTGGGGGATGCTCGGTCTTCCAGGCGCCCGAGACCGCCCAAAAGGCCCGACAATCATGCCAAAACTACCCGACAGTTCATCCAGGCAGCCCAAGAGACCCCCAAAACGGCCCAACAGGGCCCCAAGGTGGCCCGAAGAGAGCCCAATGACGGCCCAAGATGTCCTCAAGACGCCCCCCGAAACAGTCCAAAGCGTGACCCAGTCGTTCAGGGAGGCCGCAGCTGAAAGAAGGCCCGACACAGCCCCCAGAGGCCACCCGAAAACGCCCAGAAGGTTTCCAGAACGCCCCAAAAAATGTAGAACTTTCGTGAGGCCCCCACGAAGCTCTCCAAAGAGGAGCCCCCGCAAAATGAGCAGGGGAGAATGGGGAAGAATTCGCAGGGGAGGGCGAGATGAAGAAGAGAGGAAACATGAGGGACGGATAACGGATGCCATCAGTATGAAGACGATGCCAGACAAAGCAACGAGGAGGTATCGCTATTGTTTCTGGTTTGCCTTCCTGCCCGTCCGCCGCGACTTCCGCCTGCCAGCCGAACTTCAACGACCACGGTGCATGGCGCGAAACGCTAATGCAATATTGGGTGTATGTATGTATGTATGTAAGTATGTGCGTGTGTACGTATATACAAGCAGGCCTGAATCGGCGCTTCGCGCCATGCGCCTTGCTCCGGACCCTCCACGGCAAAACAATCAATCATCGTTTGCTTCAGCAGGGGGGACCTCGAGGCCTGGGCGGGCGACCGGCTCATTATTATGATATCCCTGGTGCCTGCTGACACCGCGTTCGCCCGATGCGCTTGCGCGCTTTTGCGCAGGAGTGGGGAAGGACGGATGATTTGTTTCTCGCGCGAAGATCCCCTGAGGAAATAGGGCGTTCCCATGACACGCCGAAGAAGTCGCAGTAGCTCCGGACAAATCAATGTTTGGCCGCTTCCTGAATGCCTGGAGGGCTCCAGGCACGCAGGAAGTGTTCGATTGTCGAGCTTCGAATCTAGATCCACTGCCTATCTCTCTCGGTCGTGGAACTTAAACCTCGAGCCTCAAACGTGGAACCAAGATCGTCGGGTCAGCGCGATGTACTTCGTAGGAGAAAGCCGTCTGGGCGTTTTGGGTTTCGGGGGGTCGTCCTGGGACCCTCTTGAGCCACCCTGGGGCCTTCTTGGGCCGTGTTGGGGAGCTGGGGCCCTCCCCAGGTCTTCTGAAGCCATCTAGGGCCCTGTTGGGGGCCTCCAGTGGCCTTCTTGGGGGTCCTCCATGGCTTTCGTGGGTCTCGCTTGGAAGCCTTCTGGGGGCATCTTGGGCTTCTTGTGGGCAGTCTCCGCGGCTCTCGGGAAAAGTCTCGGGGCGATATCGGGGGCCCATCAGGCCGTCTTGGACGCTGCGAAGACCCAAAAAGCGGATATGCTAAACGTATACCTTTTTCTGCGAGAATGGGACGATTGTTGCTTCTTCGGGGCTCTCTTAAGGGCGTCTTGGGGCGTCTTGGGGGCCTCTGCCGTCTTCAGACCATCGAGGTTCCTCTTTGCGCGCTCTTGTGCTGTCTTGGGTCTCTCTTGCGCCTCTCCGATGACCCCTCTGATCGCCTTGAGTCTGCTCGCAAGGCCCGGCAAGGCGCCCTGGGAGGCCCGGAAGGTCCAGCGGACCTTTTCCAAGGGCGTCCAGGGGGCCACCGAGACGTCCGAAATGGCGTCCGGGGCGTCCCTGGGGGGGGGGGGGACTGGTTTAGAGGGGGGGGGCGGGGGGGGGTCCGGGTAATAAAAATATAGGAATAAGAATATGCGGCGCAATCTGTTGGTGCAACCTATGTTGTGCAACCGATGTGATGCAATCGATGTGTGCAACCTGTAACTTGCAATCCATGTGGTACAATCTACGTCGTGCAACCGATGTGGTGCAATGAGGGGCGGCAACGAGACGGCAACGAACAAGGCAATGCAAAGTAGCGCAAGTCCGAGACGCGCGGCAACGGCGACAGTATAGCCGCCAGACTGTAAAGCAGACCCAGACGACGGGCGGCGACGAGGCGGCGACGGGGCGGCGTCGGCGAGAACGGCGCCGCCAGATCCTTAGAGGAAAAAAATTAGCCTAAGTGCAAGCACCGCTTCACTCATGTATATGGATATGAAGATATGTATAGATCTTTTTTTTTTGAATGAAAAACACGGACGGCGTCCGCTTGCGCTCAGTAGGTCCTCACTTGGACGCCTTGATTGGCACACGTGGCTTGCTAATGTTTACACAAGAAGCGCCACTCTCGTTGGTCCTGTCTTCGGGAAGCCAACTCCGCAGCTAGGTGTCAGATGGACCCTCAGCGTAGCTGCTCAGGTGCCAGTTTGACGGGCTGTCAGGACCGCCCACCAACCCTCGACGAGAAACCTGACGACTGTGAAAGCCTTGCGGGCGAGGACGAGGACGAGGGGCAGCCTCGGCAGGAGGAGGAGCTTGGAAGACGAGGGGGATCATGGATTTCTGAAAAGCGACAGGCTATCCAAACACTCTGAAAGATTTGCGGGTCCCTAACGGCGCGGTGACCACACTGTCTGGTGCTGATTCGGGTTCGACGTACCTTTTTGGGACTTGGGTCGTCCTCCGAGCGTGCCTCGAGCGTCTGGGTTTTCAAAAATGGACAAAACCGTCCGATAACGGACCGGCTGGCGACATCTTCGGGATTTACAAATCATCGGACGGTATGTCACTATACCTTTTGGGGTCTCTGACAGATCTGCAAGCTTCCTTTTCTACCCCAAGCCTTGGCTGGCATGGTCGGGGTGCGTGCGCGCTCACCGATCGCGGGAATAGAGCTGTTACACATCTAACGACGACGTCCATCCTTGCAGAACAGAGGGCCCACGGACAAGGGCTACCCTTGCCTCGACAACTCGAACGATTGCATGCGAGCGCCGATCTGGCATTTTTTAACCTTCCGAACACTTGCAATCGCGTTGTTTTTTCGGGGGGATACACCCCATGCGACAACTATCCGGTCAACGTGGGTGGCCCCTTGCAAAGATTACTATGTGAATGTCCATGCGCCGCCACAACGCTTCAACTGTCGATGCTTTCTGCGGCAGGTCCTGCAGAAGACGCCTCGTCTCGCCCTGGTCAGGATCGGTCCTTGAAGATGGAGGATCGGGCGATTTGGATGAGAGGACGGGGCATCAGACAGATTGATCAACAGCGAGCTCAAACAGGAGGGGTTGCGAGGAAATAACGGAGAGGGAGAAAGCGAAAGGGAACAGTACATCGAAGGGACGGAGCAGGAGGAAAAGGAATGGTCAGAGAAAACAAGGGTGGGAACTATAGACCACCAACTCAAGAATCAAGAGTGGTTTCCGCTGGTGCCGCCTAGATGTCGGAGGTTGAGGAGAGACAACAAAGTGACCCTGAAAGAGGTATCAGCTTCTGCTTCGGTTCATGTCGCGCGTGCAGCGAGGCGAAGCTGCGCGAGGGCGACGATCCTCCGGCGTATCTAGGGGCAAATCGATCAAAACGGATTTCCTCTCGTCTCGCGGTGGCCACGGGGTTGTCCCGTGGGTTGCCCCTTGGGTCGCCCCGTGGTCGTCCGGTGGTTGTCCCGTGCATTGTCCCGTGCTTGCCCCGTGGGTTGTACCGTGGTTGTCCCTCGGCTTGTCCCTCGGTTTGCCCCTCGGGTTGTCCCGTGGTTGTCCCTTGGGTTAGCCCGTTGTCCCGTTGTTGTCCCGCGGGCTGTCCTGTGGGTTGTTTCGTGGCTGCCTCGTGCAGATGCAAATCGAAACCCAAGTCCAACTGCAACCGAAAGGAACATCGGATTGCACATCAACTTGCAAGCGGAAATCACATTGAAACGCGCATCGAAATATATCGGAATGCACCATGCTCTCCCAAAAATATTATCACGCGAAGGCTGGTCTATATGGTTTATGGCAGTCAGCTGGCGTGGCTCGTCTAGAGCTCAAGTGCCGAAAAAGGGCGAAGAGGAGCTCAGAGAGGTCCAGTAGAGGGGCGGGCAGAAGAGAGGAGGGAGCGTAGAAGAGGGAATAAGCAGGGGGATGCGACGAGAACATTACGCTACCGAGGAACCCCACATACTGATTTTATGTCTTGTGTGAACCGCGCTACCACTACCACCGCCGTCATGCTCTCAGGTGCCCCCTGTGGTCTTTGAAAGGAGGGGGAGGACGTGTGGGGGGAGAGGAGGGGTTGAGGAGTCATCTGTGACGGTCATATCCGGCGTCGCCTGGCACTTGGATACGAGAGGTAATACGCAATCCCGCACTAGAGGCTATGCCTGGACGACCCTGGCACGCATAGGGAGACCACCCCCTGCGCACCCCCTCTGGTGTCGAGAAAATGCCACGCCTGCTATGCCTGGACGACCCTGGCACGCATAGGGAGACCACCCCCTGCGCACCCCCTCTGGTGTCGAGAAAATGCCACGCCTGCTATGCCTGGACGACCCTGGCACGCATAGGGAGACCACCCCCTGCGCACCCCCTCTGGTGTCGAGAAAATGCCACGCCTGCTATGCCTGGACGACCCTGGCACGCATAGGGAGACCACCCCCTGCGCACCCCCTCTGGTGTCGAGAAAATGCCACGCCTGCTATGCCTGGACGACCCTGGCACGCATAGGGAGACCACCCCCTGCGCACCCCTCTGGTGTCGAGAAAATGCCACGCCTGCTATGCCTGGACGACCCTGGCACGCATAGGGAGACCACCCCCTGCGCACCCCCTCTGGTGTCGAGAAAATGCCACGCCTGCTATGCCTGGACGACCCTGGCACGCATAGGGGGACCACCCCCTGCGCACCCCCTCTGGTGTCGAGAAAATGCCACGCCTGCTTCGCCTGCTAGCCTTTGCGCCAGTGTCGTGAATAGCGGCCGAGCTGAGAAACCACCCCCTGCGCACCCCCTGTGGTGTCGAGAAAGTGCCACACCTGCTAGCCTTTGCGCCAGTATCGTGGATAGCGGCCGAGCTGAGAGACCACCCCCTGCCCACCCCCTGTGGTGTCGAGAAAGTGCCACGCCTGCTAGGCTTTGCGCCAGTGTCGTGGATAGCGGCCGAGCTGAGAGACCACCCCCTGCGCACCCCCTGTGGTGTCGAGAAAGTGCCACGCCTGCTAGGCTTTGCGCCAGTGTCGTGGATAGCGGCCGAGCTGAGAGACCACCCCCTGCGCACCCCCTGTGGTGTCGAGAAAGTGCCACGCCTACTAGGCTTTGCGACAGTGTCGTGGATAGCGACCGAGCTGAGAGACCACCCCCTGCGCACCCCCTGTGGTGTCGAGAAAGTGCCACGCTTGCTAGGCTTTGCGCCAGTGTCGTGGATAGCGGCCGAGCTGAGAGACCACCCCCTCCGCACCCCCTGTGGTGTCGAGAAAGTGCCACGCCTGCTAGCCTTTGCGCCAGTGTCGTGGATAGCGGCCGAGCTGAGAGACCACCCCCTGCGCACCCCCTGTGGTGTCGAGAAAGTGCCACGCCTGCTAGCCTTTGCGCCAGTGTCGTGGATAGCGGCCGAGCTGAGAGACCACCCCCTGCGCACCCCCTGTGGTGTCGAGAAAGTGCCACGCCTGCTAGGCTTTGCGCCAGTGTCGTGGATAGCGGCCGAGCTGAGAGACCACCCCCTGCGCACCCCCTGTGGTGTCGAGAAAGTGCCACGCCTGCTAGCCTTTGCGCCAGTGTCGTGGATAGGGACCGCGGTGAGAGACCACCCCCTGCGCACCCCCTGTGGTGTCGAGAAAGTGCCACGCCTGCTAGGCTTTGCGCCAGTGTCGTGGATAGCGGCCGAGCTGAGAGACCACCCCCTGCCCACCCCCTTTGGTGTCGAGAAAGTGCCACGCCTGCTAGGCTTTGCGCCAGTGTCGTGGATAGCGGCCGAGCTGAGAGACCACCCCCTGCGCACCCCCTGTGGTGTCGAGAAAGTGCCACGCCTGCTAGGCTAGGCTTGCGCCAGTGTCGTGGATAGCGACCGAGCTGAGAGACCACCCCCTGCGCACCCCCTGTGGTGTCGAGAAAGTGCCACGAGCTGTGCTGTGCTGTGCTGAGCTGAGCCGTGCTGGGCTGTGCTGAGCTGTGCTGAGCTGAGCCGAGCTGTGCTGTGCTGTGCTGAGCTGAGCTGTGCTGTGCTGCGCTGAGGTGAGTTGAGCTGAGCAGTGCTGTGACGAGGGGGGGAAGAGTGAAGTGTGTGTGTGTGTGAGTGAGGGGAGGAAGAAAGAGAGAGGAGGGGAGGTGTGAGGTGTGAGGAGACGCGGGTGCGGCGCGGCAGGGAAGAAAACCAGAACCCCACGAAGCATGTGGGGAATAATGGAATTTGGGAGATGGTATTGATGTGATAGGCCAAAGGCGGGGACTCTGAGCAACATGTGACCTGTGACCCCTCCGACCCATGATCGATTGGATCAGGGTCAATGTCTCTGAGGGCCCCTTCCTGCAGCGAATCGATACAAGGAATTAGATTTGAGTGCGAGCGAATGAGATGAACGACGCCTAGAATCAGAAGGGGGCTGCGTCTGTGGATAAGTCGCTTGAGTGATGTAATATGTAAAGGTTGAAAGCAGAACACTCCAAAAGGTCGGGACGAATGGGATTGGACACATATTGCGAGAAAGGAAGAGGCGCACGAGGCAAACGCTGCCGGAGAGTCAGGGGATTGAGGGGGAAGGCTAAGACGAAGGGAGCCCAAGCAAGTAAAAGACACGGCAGACTGCGCGACCGCATCGCGGGTCCAGTCGAAGAGACCCCGGATCTCGCGAGCCGTGAAGTAGCCCCGCGCCTGCGATTCGCCCAGTGCCGCCCTGGTGAGGCCGTGCTTGAAAACCTCGGAGAGGGAGGGGGGGCCCACGCAGCTGCGGCCAGCGGCCAGAGCCAAGGCGGAAGTGCGCAGAAACATGGGAAGGGTCCCCCTGCAGGCTTTGCTGAGAGCATACCGCTGAGCGGTGCTGCAGCCTCTCCTGGGCTGAAGACCTCGGGGAGGGAGGGATCACAGGGGGCTTCGTGCGGTGCTCGAACGGGCAAGAAATTGCGGGCTGCATCCCAGGGTTTCTCTGAGGCGGCCACAGCTGGAGCGTAAGCCGAAGCCGGCGCCGAGGAGCCTGGTCGACAGCACGCCGCTGCGCGGGGCTGGCGCCTCCCCCGAGCGGAAGCCCTCGGCAGGCCGGGATCCGGGAGACGGCACGGCCCGGGCAGGGCCCCGGCGGCCCGTGGCCAGCTTCGGGCGGGCGACGGCACGCAGAGGCGCCGGGAGGCTGGGGGCGCGGGGGCGGAGGCAGCGGGCCAGGCGGCAGTCCTCCCTCCGGACACCTCCGCAATCACCCGAAGAATGCTCAACCGCCTCCGGGCTGTCTTTCCGCCTCCGCCTCCGCCTCCCCCCTCCATGCCTTCCCCTCCTCCGCCTTCTTTCTCCCTCCTCATCCCTCGTCTCCTCCTCCCTCCCTTCCTTCCCTCTCTCTCTCTCTCTCCCTCCCTCCGTCCCTCCCTCCCTCCCTGCCTCCTTCCTCCTCGTCCTCCTCCTCCTCCTCCTCCTCCTTCCTCGTCCTCGCGGAGTGAGCGCTTAGCAAGGCTGACCGTGTCGGGGCGAAGGGACTGGGACTGCAGGGGTAAGAACGGGCCGCGCGAGGCACATGCTAGCGAGGGAGGGCCCCAGGCTTTCTTCTGCTCGGTGAGAGGGGCCACGCTGCACACAGCTCTGGACGCGCGGGCCTGGCCCGCAGCATGCAGATCGTCAAACAGAAGGGTCCGAAGGGTGGCTCGGCGGGTCGCGATCGCAACCTGGACGTAGGGATCCGGGGAGCTCGGGGAGAGGAGGGGGACCGAGGAAACACGGAGGACAAAGGAGCATGGCGAGGGTGGCGTTGTGGCGGTGGCAGGAGGTGATCAGGGCGAGGATGACGAGGGGGCACGATGCCGAGGAGGACGGTGAGACGGACAGGGACGATGAGGAGAAAAAGGAAGGAGGAGCAATGACGTCGAGGAGAAATCGAAGACATGAGAACGGACAGGAGGATAGGGAGAACGACCAACGAGGATGAGGAAGAGCAAGGTGAGGAGTAGGGTGGCATTTGTTTTTTTCTGTGAAGGTAACAAGGTACTCGACAGTCGAGCAGTGCATTGACACCTCGTTCCCACTCGGGCGAAATTGGCTTGACTTCCTGGTCGCAGGTGTTGCGACTCTGTCTGACTACGCCGTAGAGGAAGCATTGACACATCTGTTGACCTTACCCATCGCACGTCTATCGACATCACAACTAGATGCAACAGTGTCCTGATCAAGCCGTCAAACACCAACAATTATGTATCCACGCGAGTGTCTGTCCCACCGCCAGCGCGAACACGTCCGTGGTGCGGCTCACAGTGTACATCCAGTAAACGAGCCCGACCCCCTGCACAAACGACCGTAATCGACGACGGTACTGAGAACACGTCTGGCCCGATGGTTGCAGCCGTAATGATAATTACTCCAACGGATGGACCCCACATGAAAACCTAATGCTGTATGGAATATGTACACTATCAGAATGATGCTGCTCCTGCTAACGCTGCTGCTGCTCCTCCTCCACCTCCTCCTCCTCCTCCTCCTCCCTCCCCCTCTTTCCTCCCCACTCGTCCTGCTCCTCCTGCCCCCCCTCCTCCCCCTCCTCCTCCTCCTCTTCCTCCCCACTCCTCCCCCATCCTCCTCCTCCTCCCCCTCTTCCTCCTCCTCCTGCTCCTCCTCCTTCTCCCCCTCCTCCTCCTCCCTCCCCTCTTCCCCCTCCTCCTCCAGCGCCTCTTCCGTCTCCTCCTCGTCCTCCTCCACGTCCTCCTCGACAAACGTCCATTTCAACCATCTCCTCCTGAAGGCACCGCGGTTGAAATCCCCCTCCCCCTTCCTCCTCCTCCTCCTCCTCCTCTCCTCCTCCGTTCCTCCTCCTCCTCCTTGAGCAACGTCCATTTCAACCGCGTCCTCCTGACGGCACCGTGGTTGAAATCCCCGCTTCCTCTCCCTCTTTCTCCGCCTCCTCCTTCTCCTCCTCCTCCTCCGCCTCCTCCTCCTCGACCGGCTTTCATTTCAACCACCTCCTCCCGACGCCGCCGTGGTTGAAACCTTCCTCCCCGCTCGCTCCTCTTCTCCTCTTCCTTCCTCCTCCTCCTCCTCCTCCTCCTCTCCACCTCCTCCTGCTCCCCTCCTGCTCCTCCTCCTCCTCCTCCTCCTCCTCGTCTCCTCCTCCTCCTCCTCCTCCTCCTCCTCCTCCTCCTCCTCCTCCTCCTCCTCCTCCTCCTCCTCCTCCTCCTCCTCCTCGTCCTCGTCCTCGTCCTCCTCCTCTCCTCCTCCTCCTCCTCCTCCTCCTCCTCCTCCTCCTCCACCTCCTCACGCCTCCTCCTCCTCCTCCTCCTCCTCCTCCTCCTCCTCCGCCTTGAGCAGCGTCCATTTCAACCATCTCCTCCTGACGGCACCGTGGTTGAAATCCCCGCCTCCCTCTCCTCTTTCTCATCCTCCTCCTCCTCCTCCTCCTCCTCCTCCTTTTCCTAAACCTCCTCCTCATCCTCCTCCGCGCGAGCGGGCTCGCATGGAATGCACCTGAGGGTCATTCCGTGCGAGCGGGCTCGCTGATGCCGATAGCCGTTGGAATTCCAACTTTGAGGTGGGACCCCCTAGGGGCCACAAGGGAGGTCCCTTCCGCGCGAGCGGGCTCGCATGGAATGCCCCTGAGGGTCATTCCGTGCGAGCGGGCTCGCTGATGCCGACAGCAGTTGGAATTCCAACTTTTAGGTGGGAACCCCTAGGGGCCACAGGGGAGGTCCCTTCCGCGCGAGCGGGCTCGCATGGAATACCCGTGAAGGTCACTCCGTTCGAGCGGGCTCGCTGGTGCCGATAGCCGTTGGAATTCCTACTTGTAGGTGGGACCCCCTAGGGGCCACAGGGGAAGTCCCTTCCGCGCGAGCGGGCTCGCATGGAATGCCCCTGAGGGTCGTTCTGTGCAGGCGGGCTCGCTGATGCCGATAGCTGTTGGAATTCCAACTTTTAGGTGGGACCCCCTAGGGGCCGCAGGGGAGGTCCCTTCCGCGCGAGCGGGCTCGCATGGAATGCCCCTGAGGGTCATTCCGAGCGAGCGGGCTCGCTGATGCCGACAGCCGTTGGAATTCCCACAGGTAGGTGGGACCCACAGGGGAGGTCCCTTCCGCGCGAGCAGGCTCGCATGGAATGCCCCTGAAGGTCACTCCGTTCGAGCGGGCTCGCTGATGCCGATAGCCGTTGGAATTCCAACTTTTAGGTGGGACCCCCTAGGGGCCACAGGGGAAGTCCCTTCTGCGCGAGCGGGCTCGCATGGAATGCCCCTGAGGGTCATTCCGTACGAGCGGGGTTGCTGATGCCGATAGCCGTTGGAATTCCAACTTTTAGGTGGGACCCCCCAGGGGCCACAAGGGAGGTCCCTTCCGCGCGAGCGGGCTCGCATGGAATACCCCTGAGGGTCACTCCGTTCGAGCGGGCTCGCTGATGCCGATAGCCGTTGGAATTCCAACTTGTAGGTGGGACCCCCTAGAGGCCACAGGGGAGGTCCCTTCCGCGCGAGCGGGCTCGCATGGAATGCCCCTGAAGGTCATTGCGTTCGAGCGGGCTCGCTGATGCCGGTAGCCGTTGGAATTCCAACTTTTAGGTGGGACCCCCTAGGGGCCACAGGGGAAGTCCCTTCCGCGCGAGCAAGCTCGCATGGAATGCCCCTGAAGGTCATTCCGTGCAGGCGGGCTCGCTGATGCCGATAGCTGTTGGAATTCCAACTTTTAGGTGGGACCCCCTAGGGGCCACAGGGGAAGTCCCTTCTGCGCGAGCGGGCTCGCATGGAATGCCCCTGAGGGTCATTCCGTTCGAGCGGGCTCGCTGATGCCGATAGCCGTTGGAATTCCAACTTGCAGGTGGGACCCCCCAGGGGCCACAAGGGAGGTCCCTTCTGCGCAAGCGGGCTCGCATGGAATGCCCCTGAGGGTCATTCCGTGCGAGCGGGCTCGCTGATGCCGATAGCCGTTGGAATTCCTACTTGTAGGTGGGACCCCCTGGGGGCCACAGGGGAGGTCCCTTCCGCGCGAGCGGGCTCGCATGGAATGCCCGAGGATGATGATCATGATGTGTGTGTGTGTGTGTGTGTGTGTGTGACTGGGTGTGTGACTGGGTGTGTGGGTGGGTGTGTGTGGCCCGCGGCCGTCCAGAGAAAACAAGAACCCCACTTAGGATATGGGGAACAAGCGGATATCATGAGCAAGGCGCGATTGTGCGGGTACGGACGTACACACCAATACAAATACACATGCACACACACATATCTATATAGATGCATGTAGATGCACACACTTGTATAACATAAACACATGTGTATACGATGGATTTACATATGTCGCCGCGCTGTTTGCCCTCGACGCGCCCAAGTGGACGCCGACACGACGGCAAACCCACGGCACACCCCAAGGCAAACCCTGCGCCCGAGGTGGATTTGCCCTTGTGGCCGCGGCGCCCTCCCCAAGGCGCAGGGCCGCGCATCGGAACAAACGGCGCGGCGACATACCTATACGACCACCCTGCGGGTGATAAGGAGGTTGTGGGAGGGGAGAGGGGGGGAACCAACATCTGACTCAATCGATCTCTCACTCAACGGGACACCACGGGACACCACGGGACACCTCGGGACAATTGTCGATCTCACTATCAATCTCACGATCGATCTCACTCAACGGGACACCACGGGCCACCACGGGCCACCACGGGACACCGCAGGACACCTCTCGATCTCACTATCGGTCTCACTATCGATCTCACTATCGATCTCACGATCGATCTCACTCAACGGGTCA